GGATTTGCGCGACTTGCGGGATTTTGTCATAACTTCATCCAAAACAACTTTATTTGGAATCTGCAAGAAGATTCTTCTGCTTGATGAGACGAATCATTTGGTATACACTATGCCCATGGTGCATTGTATTTATTGGCACGTGATGTATCGACATTGCATTGTATTGTTGCTCATATGACCAAATTTTAAAAATAACAAAGTAGTATCGTATGTCTACCGATCACCATGGACTACGGGCATGATGTATACTAAAAGATTCGTCTCATCAAGCTGAAGCCAAATCTTCTTGCAGATTTTAAATGAAGTTGTTTTGGAAGAAGTTATAACTAAATCCCGCAAGTTCCGCAAATCCCGCGAATCCCGCAGTTTTGGCCGTATTCCACTGATACAACTGTATCTCAAATCAAATAGTCAAAATCTTTATCGTTAAGCGTAGTTGATTAGCTTTCTAAAAAAACTTTTCTTTCATCTCCACGTCATCGTGCCGTAGTTTATGCAAAGAATAGCTAATTTGGCAATCAGATACACAAATGCTCTATTTCTGCAATTGTCAACAAAAAGATTTGTGCTCTGTGATCCAGGCTTTTCTCCCACTCAAGAATATTCGAACATTTGCAAACGTAGGTAGGTTTCAATCGTTTCTACTCCCCAAATTTTAACCCTAAAAAGCAGAGTTACTGAATGTTAAGCTTTTAGGCAGAGTCCAGCACTCCTGTTATGTCCTTGAATTGTAATACCTATTTTGGTACCGCAGAAATCTGATCGTTCTACTTTTCGTTGATCTGATACAAAAACCGTTTAGTAAAGCACACTATGTGTCTATGTCGTTACACTCTACTAAAGGATATCAAATTTTACTGCTATCGAGAATGACCATAAGTGTTCAAGCACACCTATTAGTTGCCCTCGAAGCTGACAAAGCCAGGCTTCGGTAATTGTAATATAAGCTTATTCTATTGTAAACAAAGAATGCTATTTTTGGTATGGAAAAACAAGTATTGTGGAAAAATATTGACAGTTTCTGTATTGAACTTTTGATAGATTTCCTTTTCTTAGAAAGTATTCAAATTTGTTTAACTATTTGTGGGACCAACACCTTACCTGAATCACTTATCTTGGGAAACAACAAAATAATTTTGAGTTAGTGATCGATACATTCTCGAAAGGTTTCGCCAATAATTTTTTTGCAACGTCGGATATCGAAATTGCCACAATTTCTGTAATCACGCAATCTTGGAATGCACTCTGGTTCACAATCGAATTCTTGCAATTTACGTAGCAAGAAATTCCGTCGTCTGCCCTCCTTCTGAGGCAGTCACGCATTATGCTCGTTTTCACTCCAGCACTATTTCTTTTTCTTTCGACAAGACCTTGTATACTATCGATTCGATGGTATTTTTGACATTGAATGGACGTGTCGAAGTGAAACTGATCCGGCCGGATCGTAAGAGCAGTTCCGACGTGACTCATAAGTAATCGTAAGGAAAGTTTGTCATTGAATGTCATTGAATTGTCAATCCTGTAGGTATGAAAATTCTGTAGTTTTCTCTTTCCAAAGCACTTTTCAAAGCGCTTAAGAAATACTTCCTCTGAGCCATGAGGGCTGTTCCGAACTAAAGAAGTGATGGGCTTCAATCGCATGAAATGAATATTGTGCCTATGCTTCTATAAGAAAATTTGATTCTCTAAATAACCCTGTCGCAGTTTGAAACGTCAAAGTACGGTAGTTTTTGAATGCGTGTAGGACATTTAGCTTGTTTGCTGTTGGCCATCAATCTATGCAGAAATCACTATAGGTCAGTTCTTGAAGAAGCCCCCCCCCCGCTCCCCCGCCAAGAATTGGTCGCGAAATTTTTTGAAAAATCACTTATACGTTCAATAGAAATGTGCAGGCTGCTTGTTTTTGCTTGTAAATAATCATAATAAATTCTAAAAATTTTCGAAAATTTAAACTAGCTTCGCAAAGAAATCAGGGCTTGATATTTCAGGGTTACGGTTGAGTAAAAGTTCTGGGAAGCATCCCAGAAAAAAGTTTGAAGCGCGCAACTTACGAAGTACATTCATCCGAAGAAAACTTTGTCTCCCTCCCTCCCCCCCCCCCACCCGAAGGGAAATCCTGGGTAGTCTACTGCTATGAATAGTCTACTACCTTTTCACGATGACTCCATACTGGTCTTCTTGTTCTTGTCAGTCTTTTTGAAACGTATTTACTCACCTGTTTCACTGACCAAGGTGTATTGGTAACGGTAAACATCAGTGGCGGACATTCTGGTGAACAATTTCGTGCATTACGTTGCAGTGAATTTCCGATGATAGTCGTTTTCTATGTTTTTACTAATCGCTTTGTACAAATATCTCGCCTAATGCGCCTTGCTGTCAGTTTCAATTAGAGCCTAGAGCCTTACACTCTTTACAATCGCGATGACCCTTCAGATTCATGTAACGTCTTTTGACTGTAAGCTTCCCTCGAGTCTAACGACATCGACCTTGGATAGGTTATTATCTGTGGCGTTCTAAAATGCTTGATTTCAATATCGAGAGAAAAATGATGAAGGAAAATGTTGGCCTCCTGAAAAAAATTGTTGGTCAAGTTCTCAAGTTAGGCTGGCAAGGTCTGGTTGCACATCATAAATTCTTTATACATAGTTAGAGTAATGCAGCCTGTATTCTTTTCTCCTAGTGATTTATGGCCTAGCAGATTTTTATAATAAAAAAAAGAAATTTCGCAAATACAAGTAATAATGTGCACTTTTGCATGTCGAAAGGAGACCTGTACTTTAACATCCGGCTTTTTCGCTACAGTATCTACATACAGTTTGAGTGACCGGAATGAAATGCACACATTTTCTATTCTCAATAGTTTTCAAGTTTGTTTGCACGGCATTATGTTGATGTCGTGTTTCTGCTTCTTTATATTTTGTTTTTGCCAATACCTTTACAGCGAGCCATGAGCGCAGAATAGAAAAGAATTTGAAGCCTGCAAATGTGTTACTGGATCAACGATTCCGACTGATTATTCCGCTTGATTGCATACGCCTTTGCACTTCTTGCTTTGTCCTATAATTCCTTTGTCAAATTCGAGATCATCCATGCAGAGCAGGCACAAAATTTAGATTCACTCGAAAAAAGTATAAACATAGATAATGCTAGTATGCAATATTGGCAACAACATCTCTACATAATATGAAATCTTGGAAGCAGGGCCAATATCAGAACATGTATTTTTCTCAAATCAAAAGGCAAGAAGTAACTTTCTACTTTGCAGTTGGACACGAACTGGAGACAGCAGCCCATTCCTAAGTTAAGTCTGATTATGAGATTCCTTGCAAAAAAAGGATAAACAATTAACTAGCACCATCCAGAAAATGGAAGTTACATTGTTGCTGGTGAAAAAATCGAAACGCAATGATTTGGGCATCTATGAATAACGGGAATTCTACTTTTTGATTTTGTACTTCACCAACAAAAATTATTGTTGAAGATTATGAAATTCAGCATCAGCAATAACCATAAACAATTTTTTGGATGCTATCAAAAATTTTGTGGAAGTCAAAGTCAAAAGTTTTTAGAACTTTCACTACTCTCAAATAATTCTCATCCTACATAGAATTGATGCAAAACAGTTTCCACAGCCTTCTCTACCGAAACGCTCTTAGCGTTACCTGATTGTCAGTCTTTGGCTCAAAAAATCTTTGGGTTAAAGATCACTCAAAGATTCATTGCATCTCTAATTGCAAGAGAAGTACGAAATTTCCTAGCGCTGTGGCAGCAACAGTTTTTCACACCAGCATATTTCACATAAAGTTCACTATCTGCAAAATCTATGAGGCTTACCGCGCCGATAGAAATCGTCTAGATCGTGGTTGAATAATGCCCATAGTCGATCCTATCTACTGGCTCCAGTCGTTTTCACGTGCGCACTGCGGCGCTCTTTTCCAGAATTCTTTCGGGTCATTTACCTAGCCCTGATCCATTTTCACACAATGCATCTTCCAGTCCCTCATTGACTAAAGTTCTTTGATACAATCTGGACCTAATGCGAGGAGAAATAGAATTACTTTCCTCTTCTCAAAGCAGAATTAAGTGCCTCTGTTTGCATTATCCTTTCCGCACTCAATGCTATTCGGCTTAATGCATGGCTCAGAAAATTTTTTAGGGGGGAGATTGCAGCGAAAGCCTGTATGGAATTTGTTTAGTGTCACGCATGTACTAATTCTCGGTTCAATCTCGTTTGTAATGCTTTTCTGGGCATGCGAAAAAAATCTTGGGGAATAGTCCAATATTTTAGTCGTCTTTTAGGAGTGAGAGATAAATTTACTGTTTTGCGTAAATTTTTGCATAGGGTATTTTTTAATTTTTGGAAAAACATTTCTTATTACAAAGCATCACATCACGAGCACTTTTTCCTTGAAAAAAAAAAACGAAGTATGTCTTATGTGTTCTTATGCGTTGACAGCTCTCAGAGTCTTGATAATTTTGTATTTAATCAGTCATTGAGATCAATTTTGAAAAATTTGCTCAACCAGCGAACTTACACCTCTATAATTATCAACAATTTATTATATTTCTCCATGGAAAAATATGCTGCTTGATGTTATGGAAGAAACTGCTAATCATGTGCACCAAAAATTCTCAACATTGATTCCAAAAGAAACCTTTCATATAAAAAAAGAAGCCAAAAAAGGTAATTTGAGACTCACAGCCTTTCCTTGAATCGGTTTACCTTTTACTATCCTCATCAGAAAAAATGGCCCTTTCTGTTCAACGAGGAATAGAGAAAGCAAAATCAAATCCCTTTGTCAAGCAAATTTTTTTGAGTACAGTATCGGTACAAAGTTTTTCTTCCTCTAAAACTTACTGATACATGACAAGTAGCAAACAGAAGGTATTTTGCAAAGTAGGTTACATCCTTCCAAAGCGGATTAATTTTGTTTCTAATTCTGTTTACCAAAGCGATGCAAGAAGTTCTTGCACGACAGAGAGCAGGGTGAATCTTTATTGCCCCATTTCAATCTATTCCTTCGCTCTTAGCAATGATTGCCACGAGAAACTGATTGAACTCCAAGCGTAATTGTTCGCCATCGTGTTGAAGATTACATGCAACACAGGCCGCTGCTGATAGTGGGGGCGGCAATCTGCAAATAAAAAAATTTCGTTTAAGAAAGAGTAAAAGTAAAGGTAAAAAATTTTTTTCTCCAAACAAAAATTTGAAAAAAAATTTTTATTAGATAAGCGTGTTTGTCAATTTTGTTGATAACTACTTGAGATCATTTATGTGATGTGATAATTTACACGCGGATTTTAAACATTTTTGCACTATGAATCGAACGAAATTATCAAGGCTATGTAATTGGTCATAAATTCTGCCTTAGAGCAGACAAAAAAGGCATGACATTTCGTTTCCGCCATTGTCTACAGAAGAAAAGGCAACATAGCAACTCCTCCTCCTTACCACTCCACTCACGACTCGAGTTCTCTAATAATTTTTACAATTTCAGAAAATAACTTGAAATAGATTGAAATTAGATTTCGGTATTTAGATATATAGAAACTAGTTTTTAGAGAGAATGACTTTTAAGGTAATGAATCAAAAATCAGGTGGAACCTTAATTCTTTTCATTGAACAAAAATTGATGTTCTTCATCGTTTCCCTTACAATGAAATCTCGAGATATTGTTTGAGTGCTCCCTGACTCTAGCCCCCTTTTCCGTAACGCATAATTCACTCACTCAAATCCGGAAATAGCCCCGTCATTCGTTCGTTTCTCTCCAATTTCGTTAAGAACGACCAAGACATTTTCAGTATCCAAATTCGATTTGGCAATGAATTCTTGATACCTAAAATGAATGATGTGGATGCGACATGACATCAAGGCTTTCAATTTAGGGCAGAGCGAATTCGAATTGCATCTGAAAATTGCTGGTTTATTACTTCGATAAAAATATTGTAATTTAACGCTGAAATGAAAATTGCAGTAGTTGACACTGCTAATCAGACTATTCTTAAAACTATTCCCTTCGGCGCAGGGTAAATATCTACATTCAATGGTATTGTATATACCAGTGGCGTACCGAGGGGGGGGGGGGCGGTGGGGGGGGGGGGGGGCGCGCGCCCCCCCCCCCGAGAACGGGTCGCGAAATTTTTGAAAATTACTTACATGCGTTATAATGTGCAAATGACTTGTTTATTTTTGTAAACAATTAAAATAATTTTTAAAATTTTTTAAAAATTCAAATTAGCCTTATAAAAAAATTTTTCGGGGGCGTGGCTCACGCCACGCCCCCTTTTTCCAGATTTTATGGGTTTGAGGCCCGCAAAATTGTTGAGAAGCCCCCTAAAAATTTTTCGGAGTGCGTGGCTAACGCCACGCACCTTCATTTGAAAATTTTTTTGCCGCGCCCCCCCCCCCGAGCCGAAATCCTGGGTACGCCACTGGTATATACATACTATGTGTAATAATTACTCAGCGTACTAGTTAGTATAGATAATTGAGTTTTATTGCTAAAGCTGTTTTTGCTACTGAAATAATTGCCTTAGTTATGGTCTGGAACCACAACTCTTTATATCTATATCAAAATTTCAATGCCCTACGTTTGAGTTAGGATGAAATTTTGATATAGTTTATCAAAATAGACATCTTTGACATATAGAAGAATTTTTATGACTGACGTTTCTATCCATAAAACACTAGATATCTACACAGTAAGTAAGGCCCTTTCCGCCTCAAACTCTCAAGAACTCTTAACAGCTTTTTCAGTCGACACAAATTTGGTTGATTTGAGATTAACTCGCCTGATTTTATACGTATCAAAATACGATTAACAAGGTACTAATACGCATACTAATGCTTGTATACTGGATATTGAATTTTCGAAGTAAAGTATGAATTATGGTGAACACATTGAGAATATTACATGCAGTTTGTGTGCATTATTTGTAATGCATATTATTTGTTTACTTTATTGGTTCATGCAGACTGTGCCTAATGTAGTAAAAAGTAAAAAAAGTAAAATAGAAATCCTCATCTGTAAGTGAATTTTAAGCGTAGATTGAACTAAGTCCTATATTATTCCTGTCTTCTTAGTTGAATGTATTGTATATTATCTTGTAGTGTACATAGAACACTTTGCTCATGCGTTACGCCGAGGTTCATCTGATATTGTTTGCTAGTGATCTCCCCGCCATGGCCGCTCAAGGGGTCTTCAATTGCAAATTCGCTAGGGCATTATGGCGCGCAATAAGGTGTCATTTCGATCTGATATTAGCTTCGTCTGTGAGCCCCTCTTCTCGCCCTTTCGCATCCACCGCCTGCTCTTTGACGGAGAGAGCACTAGCTGCGAACATCGTCGTCCTCTATCGTCCTTTATAGGAGCACTCTCGTAGCTCAACTGCGATGTCATACGATCACCTTTATGCAAAAAAGCTTCTGCAGTTGTTCCACAACGTATACAATCGAGTACTTTACCAATATTCCAAATAGGACTTCAACATCGTTGATAGCGAAATAATTTGTTTCGCGACCAAAAATTACGATATTTTTGCGGGATTGCATGCCTAAATATATTTGAACGGCTTAACTTTGTTCAAGTACGACATGTAGGTAATTGGAAAGGAATGTCAAAGGGAGAAAGTGGAAGAAGCAATATCCTAAGCTTCGCTAAAGACTTTCTGATGAATTTATGCATTTTGTTGCCACTGTTTTTCCCGTTGTTTTAGTATCTTCAGCGCAGACTGTTGGCATTCGAGAAATAAAGAAATAAAATAATACTCAAATAAGTAGATAAACATGGCAGTGACACTACAATTGTGTTCCTATCTTTATACCGTTTTCTAGAAATTCAAATTTCAGTACATAGTCATCAGTGGCATTCTTCCTAGCCCACGTCAGTTTCCATAATGTGCAACCTACACTGGTTATGCAAAGAAAAAGCTTCAGTATGCTCATTTAGAGTTTTAACACTTTCCCATAAGAAAGTCTGCTAATATTATTCTGAAGAAAACAGATGTAAGTAGAATTGACAAATCACAGATTACTCAGATTATGTTTCGAATTTATTTTCATTCCTTTTTAACCTATCGAAACCGTTAATTTCAATTTTTGAATTAGAGTTTAGGTTACTGAATGGGGCAAAGCAAACCTGTCAACTAAATCATGAATTTCCAAGTGAAATTTTAGACAGTAAAAAATCTTTAAATAGGCCAACCAAATCTCAGCCTCAAAAAAATCTGATCCATTCTTGCTTACGCACTACTTGACACATCTGATTGTGAGATGTATACATACCTATATTTGTATAAAGATAAAAATACGATGGGCATAGAGAGGCAAACTGCGCGCGTGACAGTTATGGGTTTTCCTCCCACATACATAATTCAATAGCTCATATTCTGAAGTATAACCACAATATACATCTCTAAGGTGCCGTGGTTCATGAGGAGTTTTGATTTTAACTGTCATAGCCGAATAAAATAACCTGACCTGATAATTAGACAACGTGATATGTAGTTTGCCCCTTATTGTAAGAATCAGCTTTTAGCCTTCAGCTCTCCTCCATTTTGATTGCTCGGGGCACTCGCAATTACTGCTCTGCAGTAGTAATGCAACACAGCTGTGTTATGTGTGTAGATGTCGACCTCTACGTAAATCATTTGGAGGTGGTTATTAACACATTCCCCACTCTCGATACCTCGATTGCGCAATTTGCCCACCGCCACTATTCAAGACGAGCACTTTGGGAGGGGTAGGACTTTTTGAGTGAAGAACTCCGCGATAAAAACTTGACTTGAATGCTTTCACTCGCACATCAACTTTTCCCAACAAAATGTGCATTTTTTCAAGGATTTCTTCTTGATTTCTTCCCTATCATTTGGGTGAATATTTTGAACATTCAACACAACTATCTACTAACATTTGACTCTTGAGAACCTAAGAAATTACGGTAGCTCTAATCTGTTTGTTAACTCTTTTTGACTATATCAGCTCTATTTTTTATACAATGTCCAATTAAGTTCATCTGTTTGAAAGTGGAACTTCTCATATTTTCAGCTTCCCATGACAAAACTATCACTATTTAGACTATAAAGGTTCACTTTGGATGGGCACATTATACTTGTAAAAAATCATAGTACAAAAATCTAAGTCAACTCAAAATTTCTTGAGGACGTTGCCTCCGCCATAGCTGAGACCACGCACTTTTATTCGAAGGGATTTTTTGTCTCCCCCCCTCTCCCCCCCCCCAACGGCAATTGTGGGACCGCCATTGCTCAACATTAAAGTTGGTATTACAGCGAAGGTTTCAAAAATTTTTCATTTTTGAGAAGATTCTGTTCATACAGCGTTGGCTTTTTTGACAAATTCAATCCTCCCAAATTTTCTAATACATCCATTTCCTTGTTTGTCAGATGCTTTGCATAAATTGCCTTTTTATAAAAATTGTGAGAACTAACCACATTTTTAGATCTTCTCCTTTATTCTCATCAGGATTAGCAACTAGAATAACGCCCTCGATGCCATCCAGAAACGCTGGCCAACAGTCGCGGTATCTAAACAAATAATTTTTTAGAGTTGTGTAAACGTAGAACGGGACGAAATTTAGGTTGCGAGTCCTCGTTCATGTGGAACTAACTACAGCTTCGTTAGCTGGTAATTTGGCGCTTATGTTAGCTAGTTCCAGAAATTTCAATCCATTTTCATTATTTCGCTGTTTTGCAAATAGCTTCAGAAGAAGTTTGCAAAGAAAATTTTTATCGTTTGTAAACTATATTTTGCAAATCTGCCGAAAAGTTTTTCCCTTGAGGCCTCAGAAGGATGAAAATCTCTATTTTGGGACTCATCAAGTAACGTTTCTTCTCACCTGAAAGTATAAAAAATCTTCCTTTTGGGTACTAATGTAAGAAAAAAACTTTCATTTCTTTTCAGAAAATTTCAAAAAAATTTCTTTTTACCTAAAAGTGCAAAAATCTTCCTTTCCGGGACAAAAATTGTGAAAAAATTTTATTTTAGGCCGCGGTGTGAAACTTCTTCTGGACCCTCAGAAGTATAAGAATCCTTCTTCTCGAGATCCAAAAAAATCTTTCTTATGCCCAAAGGTATAAATATAATCCTTTCACTCAAAATGTCAAAATATTTCTTTTCGAGACCCACAAGGTAAGAGTAATGGAGTGCGTGTAAGTACTCACTTCAAATCTCCACTGCAATCCCATAGCTCAACATCCACTTCCACCCTCTGCTGATGAATCTCCAATTCGTGGCTTTCGAACTCAACTATTCGCACTCCTGCAATGGAATTCCTCTCGAATTTTCCAAAAATTTCTTCAGATATTTCCCTTTTTGAAGATCCATCCTCAACCCTCACATCGATCGCGTTCGTTGTTCGTATTTGGGTAACTAACAAAGGACTTTCGGGGTGATGACAGCGGCATCAGACGCGCGCAATTCTTCCCCTCATTACTCGCATTAGCCGTGGCGGGGTGGTCTTTCCGGTGAGGGCAGTCTCATTAATAGCCCCTGCCACCAGCTAGGGTGCATGATTGGCTTCGTTGGGGCTCGGCCAAGCACAAACAATCACCACTCAAGACGTCAATCTATGATACATATCCGTTCCTTGTCACTTCGTCACATTTTCGGCTTGAAATGTTTGGCGCACGTAAATGAGGCCAATTTCTTGGCCGATGATCAAGAGCTTGCGATAGTAGTCCAAATTTCTCCTAATTTGGACGACTTAGGAAAAGAATTTTTGTGCACTTTACTAACCAGTATTGAAACAACTTTGAAATTTGTGTTTACTTACGTCTGTTTCCACTTTTTGCCCATCTGCCCAAAGATAAGAAACTGAACGAGTTGACTATTGTAGAGGCGGGCAAGAAAGTGGCCTTTTCCATCTCGCACTTTTTCAAAGTGAGATAGGATCTGATTAGGAACTCTGGACTTTCAAATGGAAATGCTCACTAGCATTTAAAAAAATTTGTAAAGCAGTTACTAGAGCGTGGACCAGAGTGGACATTTTAGATGTTTTACGGTATTGTTCCTGTAATGGAATGATAATGCTTAATGCTTGGGGGGAAAGGAAAGGTCTAAGGGAAGAAAAGGTCCCCAGTAAAATTTGATATATAGCTATTGACAGAGTCCGATCAATCAACAGCATAGATATTGATCAGAAAAAATTTGCGTGCCAAACGAAGTGAGTAATTCATAACTTTTTGGATATCTCCTCTATTCCAGGCATCCTCAATCAAAAACTCATCTCTGAAAGTTCTAAAAAGGTATTTCGGTTAGCAAAAGGTGGAGCAAAAAAAACTGCTTCAATTTCGCCACGTATGTAGATCACATCTGAAAGTGATCATAAATCATTGCCGAAGGAGTGGCAATTTTCCACCCTTGCCCTACTAGATAAATAATTTCATGGAAATCCATGACTAGAATTTTACGAAGAGAAATTCCCATGGTCACGAATTCTTGCGGAATTTTTAAGTGGTTTACGTAAGTGTCACGCTTGTCTAGTAAGTGCACAGTTTTTTTGAATAATCACCATAGTAAGAGCAAAGCTAAACGTTACCTGGACCACTGTCACAAATTTTCATACCTGCATACTACAACTTGCAACGTACTCGCTTTGGCGAGGATTTTGGCGTTATAAAAATTTGTTTGTGGCTTTCTTCTTTTCTGCCAGAGTCTCAAGTGCTAATAATTCACTTCGTAAGCATATTTCTCTCAGCATTAAACAGATATGATTTAGCATCCCATATTCCCAGACGCTATGTAGAAAAAGTATTCTTGGAAGGACTAGGCTTTTTGTTCCATGAATGACTGCATCCAGCTAGTCACTGCTTTACTGGTTGGAATAGTGGCTGGTTCCGATATATGGCTTTTTCCTCAGTATATTCTATACGTTTATAGCTAAAATTATCCAAGCTGCTAGACATTTCTTTTCTGAGTTATTATGCTTGACTTATTCTTAGCCGCTATTGAGCAAGGGTGCAAAAAATAGCTGTAAAAACCAAATATGACTACCCTTGATCACCTCTCCTTGTAAAACCTTTCTGCAGCTATAAAACCATAGATTGAAAGTCAACAAAAACCTATCAAATGCGGAACGCCGGCGAAAAAGTTAAACGAACGGGCTGACCTTTTGTCGGACGGTATTCTCCAAGGGATTCGATGTCCACCTGCTCTCCCAAGTAGTTCGAAATTGCTGTCTTTCCAGCCTGAAAAATCGTATTATCTGGTAATTATTCTTCAGCAGTTCCTACTTTTCGTCATTCGGGAAAAAGCTCTTCGAGGGATCGTCAATCAAGTTTTATGGGTTAGAAATTTGAAATAATGAATGGCTGGATTGTCGCTTCTACAGTGATTGTTTTTCGAGGGGGAAGGGACCAAACAAAACAATAAAATACTGCAAAACTTGAGGCAGTTTATTTGAAACAGCTAAGAGTAGCGTTTGAAAACTTTAGGATCAGGAAAACTTCCTCAGAGCTGTTAATTTTAGCTCAAGACCACCTAAAACCAAAAATTCGTCTTAGTCGGCCCTGTTGGGAATGCATTACCTTGAAGGGCATCTAGGCAAATCTCTTTACCTGGAAGTTTTCCATCTAGAAACTGGTAGGCAGGGGGAGGCGAGGGGGAGGGGGGAAGGGAGGTCGCCACGAGCCATTGCTCAAGAGGCAGCTGCTATGGTTCATTTGTGGACGAGAAATCCAGTGCTAAACTTCCTCCCACTACCGTATGCTTCAAAACGCCGATTGGTCCGTTTAGAAAGAGTACGGTGCTGGGCGAAAAACCAAAGGATGGTTATTTGGTCACTAATGACTTGTATAAGCTATGACTTGGGCAATGGCCTACTCTACATCGGGGTTCGCCTGGACACTTTTTCCACTTTAGAACGAATTTTACATGTGTTTTCATTTCTTTTCTTTCAGAAACTGTTTCCTCCACCTCACCGCTAATCATTCAAAATACTTCTCTTAGCTTTTCTTACCGGGAACGTTTCCCCAAGTCATATAGTATTCCCTCTGCATTTTTCTGCTGCTGTTCTTTACTGCAAAGGTCGTCTACTACTATTGCCTTGAGGAATGGGACTCGCAAAGGCAAAACCACCCCACTAATTCGATCAACGCCTTTCCGCTCGAGCGCAATGCCTATGTCATATCGAGCTGTTCTCCATTCACTTTTCTCTGCAAAAGACAGCTATATGTACTAAACACCACACCTACCTTGCACGGTCCCAGCACGAGTATCTTCTTCGGAGGGCGTTTATTTTCGTCCATTGCTAGCAAAGTCGAAATGGGATGGAAATAACTGGGATTGTGAGACCATGCGTATCAGAACTGAAGAGAAAAACAACAGAAGAACGGAAGGCAGAGCAACGGGTTTGTGGCTACTAATCGGGGTCGAAGCCAGTGTCCATGGAAACGCATGTATATAGCTGCAGCCGCTCATTTTTCACGCATAACAGCTTTTACTACTTACAACGAAATTTTGCGTAGAGATCAGGAAACCAGTTATCTGCTCTTACCAATTCCGCTTTATAATCACTAGCAGATAAAAGATGCTTGATCGATTTGACGATTTAACAACTAATACAGACTCCTAGGCGAAGATTGAGAACTACCCAAGTCTGGCTTTATCAAAGGATAGTTATTTAGCTTTTTCCTACTCTTTTTTCCTATGGTTATGATTAACATTATGTTAAGCAAGCAAATTTTTTAAACTTTATTTTCCTTATTACTTCTGATGGTGCCTAGTTCAAAACGAGGACCTTGACGCCTTATTCACTAAATAGTTAAATTTGGCTAATTAGTAAAAGGTCGAGAAAGTAGAATAAAGTTCTATCAAGACGAGAAGGCAGCTTTTGTTTTGAATCACAATCCATATAAAGCTTGGATTTCATGAAGAAGAAGGCAGCTAGGGGGTCATTGAATTAGTTTGTAATTATTTTCCCAACTAAACGTATTTGACAAAAAAATCTGCGCAATGTCAATTGCTTCAAAGTGATTTCTATGAGGCAGAGCAGCACTTAACTGTTTGAAACTTACGAATCAATTGCTTTTTTGAATTTTCCAGTTGTAGCATTCTCCCAGGTTTGAGTAAAAGTGCTTTTGAGGTAGTGTACACGATTTCGAGTCATTCGGAGTACAAGCTTGTTATTTTGTAGAACAATGCTTTGCAGCTACGGAAAGTATTTCAGATGAGCGTTTCAATTTCCATCTACTAGTGTAGATCATTTACATAAACAAACTGGCAAAGTATCTGGTTCTCGCAGTTTTTCTAAGTTGGTCGCAAATTATTTCTTTCAGTCTCTGGCTTTTCCGCATTGATCGGCAATTTTATACGCACTTATATGAAGCACTTTGATAATTGCGCATCCTTTTAACAATATGTTTTTTTACAAACTCTCAACTTGGCTGCAGATCTTTGCTGATTTCAAAATTTTTGGAATATTGTATAGTCTTTCAAGGATGTCCAAACTCCTTCCGATAAGGCCTCCTCCACCCCTCTCCTCCTCACAGTCTTCTGCGCTCAGTCTATGACTACTAAGTCATGAGGTGTGTGCCCCATCTCTCACCTGCCACGACAAGCACGCGACATTAATCCATCCGTTTGTCGTTTTTATGACCTTTGTCAGCTAGCGTTACGAATCTCGACGTTGACGCAATCGTCCTGAAGAACATCTCATCTCCTCCCCATCAAGTGCTGTTTTTGCCTTGCAAGAGGTGCGTGTGTATCTCGCGGACAATTGGTGCTAGCAAGCGCGACGGAACAAGCAAATATGTCACTTGTACTGCTAGAAAACAATACATAGAAATTGGTAAAATTTCGCTGATCCGCTATATGTGGTTAAAATATGCTGGCTAAATGGGGTAAATAGAGGAGGAAGAACGGGGGGGGGGGGGGCAGAGCTGCACTTTTTCTGCAGATAATTGCATTATTTTTCTGTGGTGCATGCAAAATGATATGCAAATTCAAGGGCAGAAATTACGGCTAATTAGCGCAGAATAGCTCTGGCATATTTCCCCAAATCTTAAATGTTGATCATTTTTTGAGTTTTCTTATACTAAGAAAGTGTTCTTGACAATGATTGGTAGAGAAATTTCGGTGGAGCAATTGGCTTTAGCCCGGGGGAGTGGGGAGGGGGGGGGGGGAGGTCAACTTTCCTCATCCAAATCATGGATTTTTTCCCTTGAAAGAAATTTTCCTCAAGAGCAGCTTTTCGCTCCAAAAAACCACATTTTTTGCAAGCGTGTGACGACGAAATTTTCAAAGAAGTCGCTCTCGTTAAAAATTCAACAAAGCTAGTATTTTTAGAAATACATTATTTTGAGTATCTGGAGTTCAAACAGCTCCTCTGCTATTTTCAATAAAGACAACTATCAAAAATTTCGCAAGAAATGCTTAGTTTTCATTCCCTCCCCTTCCTTCGTCAAATGCTGGATCCTAGTTGCTCGCTTACATATTCTTCTCACTGCGACAAGCTGGTAGGTATTAGATTGATTTTTGTATACAACTTTTGTTTTTGACGTTTTACATTTGTATGATATAAGAACAAAACGTGAATAAGAGATAAATGAATAGAAATCCAATGGGTAAATAACTCTGGTGGTATTTCAACGAGAAAGCTTTTTTAGTGAATTATTTCCACAAAGCTTTTTCAGTGAGTTATTTCTACGTCTTATCAACCCTGTGCTCTTGGCTACAAAACTTGATTACAAACCTGTTCATTGCCTCAATAAGAATGCTTCAGGTGCTCGTTTACTAGTTATTTACTCTATTCAAGTTAACTTCACCCCCTTTTCTCTCTTCCTCTCCACTATTGTCATGCCATTTTCGAGTTGAATTCACCTGTGATCGTTTTACGTCTACTAAAAACTTCAATATGTGCCTTAATTGAATGATCCATCGCTCGAGCCGGGTACGGTATGCACTTTAGCACTCAGCTGCAAAAAGAGTCTGAACTGCTGCACTTTATGAGGGCTAATGAAAGAGCATGAGCGTGTGACCTAACTGGAGGAGGATTCTATTAGCCAGCAAAAGAGGTGCTCATTACAGTGTTTATTTGCAAAAATGGATGTGAGACCGGGAGCTTTACGGTTTTTTTGGAGTTCGTATTTTTCATAAACTTCTTTGAAAGCGTTCAGCTGTTTCCCATTAGTGTATAGTACGGGAACGTAACCGTTTTCAGTAGAGAAAAAATCTTAAAATCCCATTTTAGCATTTTCAGGATCTAACATCCGTACAATTATATGCGGGGTTTTTGCTTGGTTCAAAAAATAAACGATAAACGAAAGCCACAGAAATTGGGAAAACTTGCCACGTTTCTGCGATGTTTTGATATGCAAAAAATAAATTGCAAACTAAATTCTGCTAGACTTATCTTTGATAAACTCTCTTTAAACTGCCATCTAAATCTCAATTTAATTGAGTTATGTTTGGCTGATAGAGCCAGTAGATTTTTTGTTATTGTTTTTCAGGGACCATATAAAATAAAATACCGATGAGGTCAAAAATTTCTTGAAAATGCTCGAAGCGAAATTGAGATTTCTGCAAAGACAATCATTTATCGCGTGACTCGGCAGTGAATTTTTGTGAAAATCTGAAGAACAGTTTGAATCAAATCTGCAGAGTTATACCACAAATAGAATATATTTAGTGAAATGCAAGCGAGGAAATGCAAAACCTTTTCAGTCGCTGGAATTTTATCTACAAGGAATGTAATTTTTAACCTCAAAAAAGTATTTTATTAGGTCGTTCCGAAAGTAATGTCGCTTTTTTCGAATGAACGCCACTATTCGTGGAATCAACATTTCTAAGAGATTTTAGGAGCATTGCAGCATTTCATCCTCTTTCTAACGGCTCTAATTTCACTGCATAGTGTTTAATGAGCTCTCGAAAAATTACCGAAATCTGCGACTCATGCTTTTTGCCATGATCAAGTTCGGCTATTTTTCTAAATTTTTGTACCCAATCTCCGAAAAAGTACAAGTGGCAGGTAGATAGAACAAACACTATAGAATACTGAGTAATTTTTCCTTTCCCTTAGCTTGCTTCTCAGAGTTTCTACAACCAATTTCTCAATGCCATCAAATTTCATATTTAGTCAAGTCAAATCTCACAGAACAACAACCGGCAAGCGACTCGGGTGTCATTCGATGCAGCTTTTTCTCCTCTTTCTAGCGATTGTTTTTTTTCCCGATTCATCAAGTTTTCCGGGATAAAATCATCATAATTCAACTTTTCTAAGGCACTCCAAGGTGTACCCGAAATTTTCGAAAGTTGCCAAACCGAAGCGGTGAATGCTCGTTTGGTTTGCAAAATTGTTGCCAAACCATAATCCATCTTTGTAAGTTCCAAAATCCGAAGACTTGTTGGCGTTTGATGCACTTGTGTCTGAGACGAGCCTGCTAAAATTCGGTGGTTCTATCAAAAAATCTGTACAAAAATTACGACGAGCTCTGAAAAGTGGAAAAAAGTTGTGCTGTTTTCTGTAGGGTTTGCTCCATCCATCCACTACTTGGACTCCTTCTGAGATTTGTTATAAAATTTTAGAAAAATTGTGAAACCTGGCCATTTGAAAAAGCATAGGTCGCAGATTTTGACTCTTTTCTGTAAGCTCACTGACTGTATTGCAACAACTTCATAACCATTAGAATGAGAATGAAATGCTGCATCAACTGCTACCAGAATCTCTTACATATCTTTGTTCCACGAAATGTGGCATACGTTTGAAAAAAGCGACATTACTTTCGGAACGACCTAATAGTTTGCTTGTGATATAAACCACACTTTGAAAAGTTCTCATTCCTAATTTAAGTTGCCCTAACCAGCAGTTTTTGAGCAAAGCATTTTCTAGAATATTTTAGTAGTGTAAAAAAGTCTCTGAACCCTAGACAGTGTGCGTTTCGTTCAGAGCTGTTCACGCATGATTTCAGCAATTTTCGCGTAACTGGTAGTTTTTTAGCGAATTCTTTTTGAAGACTCAAATAACGAAATTGATGTCATCTGCAAGGATTCCAGAAGAAGCTCCGTAATACAAGCTTAACCAGATCATCTAGAAGAATTTCAATGAGATTTAAGACTAGCGAAATTGCAGACTATTTTTTCTGCTCTACCACATCTGCAAGAAATAGAATTTGCAGGACTGCGATATGAATTTGCTCGAACATTCCAAGCTGAACTAAATTTTTTATAATCGATCGATCCAAATTTTCACCTCCAAACTCCACTTCACTACAAAACTTCTTTGTAAAATGTGCGTACAACTGCTGCTCGTTGCTCGCGATGTGTTGGCAATGCCCATTTATCTTTTAATGAGGTTTTCGTCGATAGAATTGCATCTGAGCGTATAATTTCCCACTCTCACCTCGTTCGTCCCCTTTGCACTCGTCTCTTCGTAGGTTATTCCATATTCTAATGAGTGAAGTGGGCTTATTCTCAAGAGACCCTCAATTTCAACCGAAACTTCCCCAAATGCCGTCTGGAATAGCTTACGGCAAAAGAAAGAAATGGAAACTCAGAATTTTCGAGAGTTTCTTTGCAGGAAAAGCGAGATAGAGGGGGGGGGGGGCGGGGGAGATGGGGCTGGTAGGAAGGCTTTGACCTGGGATTAGGGTTGTTAGCTTACGCGAGGGGGGGGGGGGCTAGGCTACCTGTCCGTCATTACAGCTGCTTCAGCATGATTGCATGTGTTTGTTCTAAACACAGCTGCAAACCCGAGGTAAAGAGGGTGACCTCATTAGTCGCGGTCATCAGGAACTTCCTCTCAGCTAAAAGGGTAAAAGGGGGGGGGGGCTGGTACCTGAAAATTTTGCACGATTACTTGGTTATTTATTTACCGAACTCAATAATAGTTGACGAATGTTCTGATATAACGAAGACTGCTGGAATGTGAAAAAAAAGAGGAAAGAAGGAAAATGAAAAAAAAACTCAATCAATAAAGCAGAGAATTTTTGATTGTGCGAGTCTCAGGAACATCGTCAAGAAATTTGATAGCAAACTATGAAAAGTTCTAAAAATTCATATGAGTGAGAAAATGAAGTAAAAAACAAAAAATCTTCGATCGCTTGAGTCCACTGATTGACTCGCACAATTTTTTTCATTTTTTCAAGGCAAAGGATTGCTCACAAATTTCCTGGATATTCTTTTGAGATTTGATGGTCCAATGATTATTTACCTAGCTGCTACCCCCAACCGCTACCAATATTGCTCCCCGTCACTCATACCCCGTTCTGTCCGGCTAACTGCTGCTAGCGTCAGCTGAATCCCATTGTCTTCTTTGCCAATTAACTCTCCTTAGCTGCTCTCATCAATCTACTCCCTCATCCCCCCCCCCCCCCCCCCGAGAGAATGACTCGCAAAGAAAGCGTTGTTTATTGTTGGCACCTAAGAGCCGCTGCCACGACCCGAGAAGAGCCCCGCCCCCGTCGCGTACTCTGGCGATCGGGTTCCGCCCCCTCTATCCATTAGGGTAATCCAGCCCGGTTTCCCATACCAATACCCCACACTACGATCCCCCCTCTCGCCTCTTCATTTGCATATCGACATCGACGACGCACTAATTTCATAGCATAACCCGCACCCGGTGTATGGCTGCTGCTCGGGTGCCGGGTGCCGGGGCTCGGCTTGCAAAATCTCTCATTCATCGGCATAATTCCCATCGACAAGCTGTCCTTGTCGATGACTATGAGAGCTTCTGACACTGCTAGGGGTTCTCGAGCTTCTATTCGCTCGGATTTTTTGTCCTATCCTTTTTTTGACATAGCATGCAGGTTTCCAACTTCATTCGCTTTTTGAAATCTTATCGTTGCTGTTTTTTATTTGAAATAGTTTTTTGCTGTTTTGATTTTTTTTTGCACAAAATCAGAGTAACCTCTAATTACTGTTTCCTAACCTGTTGTAATTTTAGATCCATTGAACTTCACCTTTCCTTTCTGTCTACCTCTTACTTACCTTTACACCTTTCCTACCAAATAATGGTACTTTTAACAATTTTTTTGCACAAAATCCAGATCGGATCCACAAATCAACATTACCACTCAATGCCTTCGCATTTTCCCCTCACCACTCTGTATCCTCCTTCATCTTTACTTAGCTCTAGCTTCACTTTCTTTATCAAGTGAGTACTCTTAGAATTTCTTCACAAAATTAAAATCATATCTCAAATTCACCAGTGGAATTCACGAGGCCTGACTCTCTTCACAATTCTTTTCTTTTTTTGAAGATTCTTATGGTTACGTTTTCTCTCCCAAAGATAGGTTCCGAAAAAATAAGTTACCTTTCCCTAACTCTTTATTTGAACAAAACCCGAGTTAAAATCACAAAGCTTTATTGAGCTAACAATTTTGACTTTGCTACTTATTACAATACTTTTACCTTACATTCTTTGCCCCTATCCTTGCTTTGCCATCTTCTAAGTAATGGTACTTTTAGAAATTTTTTGTGTCGTTTCCGACTTACCACTACAAATTTTCATGATTACACACTTTTGACTTCTCTCACCACTTTTTCTTAGCTTCCTGTTTACCTTCACCGTCTACCCTTACCTTTTTTTTCAGGTACTCTAAAAATATTTTTTTTACTAAAAATGAACTCTAAAATTTTTTTCTGCTCAAGATCAGAGGTGCATCTAATTCCAAAAAGTGGTATCAACCTAGTGTCAACCTTTCGCTTTCGAACATTACTCTTATTTTTGTGCCCCCCCCCCTTCGCAGTCTTCCCCGCTGCAACCAGTGCAAGAGCACATTATAAAACGCATTACAAGCTGATTCTCTTACAAGAAATGTACACTTCCACACCATTTGCCAACTGCTGTATACAAAAAGGCCAAACTAAACTGGAACATGCTCGATTTGTCGATGTTACTTTAAATCCTCCGCTTCTGCGGGATTTGGGGGTGGTTTTGTTCGGAAATGGTTTCGCTCGTAGCTGAATGTACTTTCGCTTGTTTCCCGTAGTCCCTTTCCGGTTGTGCTTTGATAGGAGCTGAAAGCAATCAGAGTGATTGTTAGGGAAGTGTATTGTTACTAGTGGGACTTGATTTCGTCACATTTAGGGATAATCCTGAAGTCAAGTAGTATCAGTAGTTATTATCAAAAGCAAATGCTTTTTTCCTAACAATGGCATTTAAATCTCGCGCCATTCAAATTCTCAAACTACCCTACAACTTTGAAATTTTCCACCTCATAAACTCTTTTTTCGAACTTCCATTGATGCAGTGCCCTTCCGTTGTACGTCCTTCCACTGTTCAGGTTCTTGTGTGAGGTTTTCATGCTCGATTAGATGCACTTATCTAAAGTCGTCAGCAAGATAATACCTCTACCTCTTGCAAAAAAAGTCACTTCACCTTACTCCTCTGGTAGGTTGACACTTGCAGAATAGATATTGGCTGCATACATGAGGGTTTCTCGCCATCGCAAGGTTTTTCTTACCATATCTGAGCAACCGATCTCATATTTCATGTGCAGAGGTTTTATACGATGAAAAAAGTTGTTGCTTGCAGAATCTCGTTTCTTATTTCATTTTTAAATGCACATTTCGAATTTATTCATTCTCAGATTTCTGAGAATCCACATGTTTATTTTTCTTTAGAGTGCATCTTAGCTCGTCTGGGACTAATACTTCCAATTTTATTTTTACCAGGTCTTCGTGCGTGAATATTTCAATTTACGCTTCGTGAACCCGAAAAAATTTTCACGAATTTTTCTTCGAATGAAAAGGTTGCCCAAACCGTTCGATTTGCTGCAGAAGTTGAGGACAACCCATTTGAAGTCACTTTGTTGCACCCTCCATACAAAATTTTGGAAAGATATGTTTACCTACCATCTACCTACCGTAACCCCCCAGTAGCCCCTAGCAAAATTTTTTGTTATCTTCCTAAGCAAATTCCACGCCAGTTTTGGGATTCAAATATCCCTGCATAATCCATTCTCTCCTTTTTGAGCGAAACTGTTATGTTGGAAAGAAGTCTCCATCTACCGTAACCCTACAGTAATCCATCCTACATCGAAATCTCACATGATTTATCTATCTTTCATGGGCATACCTTTTTCTAATGATGTTCTTTCTCAAACTAGTGGTTCCTGTGAAGCAGATTATCCAAATGAACCAATACTTCCAAACAACATGTCCACCTACCGTAACCCTACAGTAAAATTGCCTTTTATATGAGAATCTTGCTCAAAACTGAGCCAATCGCTTTGGCATCGTCGTCTTTCCACTGCCGCGCGTTCAATGAGGAACAAAGCCGTCCAAATCATTGAGTCGGTCTTTTTCCACCGTTTCTTCTCGTACTTTACACGAGCCGACCCGTGTTACTTATTCCAATTACCGTATCTTCACCATATCGTTTTTGCCATGTCGCGTTCTGCCGCTTCTCGCCAAGATTCACATCGCAAATTAGAATTTTGGCGCGACTTTTGCAGATGTTGCGATGCGACTTCTCCTTCGGATTCTGATCTGCGCATCGCATCTCTACGATGTGCTCGTTCATTCACAGCACGTCTACTATTCGAAGGAACCCATCAACCATGTTGTGCTCGATGGAGACAAGGTGAGTGCATTATCCCGTGGTTTTTACTGCTCAGTCTGTACTACGAGGTGTTGCTGCGGCTTCAGCGCCGTTTCCATGGGGTCTTTCTCGGCTCAGTTAATCAGCGGTAATGGCCTATGAATACGTGATAAGTTTGCGCAGTTTAATACACATTGGCTTCACGGTGAGGAATTAGTAGTCATCTCTCCAATGAAAACATGCACGAGATATGATTAATTTGCATTTTGCTAAAGGTATTCTGGTGAAAAAGTCTAGCGGTAGATGAATTCTAAAAATAGCAAAAGTTTGAAAAAAATTGGAAGAGATTGTAAATTGACAGGTTAGATGAAAAGTTCCAGACCACGCGGATGAAATATCTGGTAAAATTATGTCACATCGTGTTTTCACAAATAGCAACCGAATTTGCAAAAATTTGAAAACGATAATTTTTCACTTATTATTTTCATCTGGGCTGCGCTCAACAAACAAAAGAAGATGTGCTACTTCTAGGAATGGGTATTGGTTCTGTCTGACAAAAAGATTGTTGAATATGAATCTGGTCATTACTGTTAGACATTGCAAGGATATGAGCTTCAGTATCTCGCAAAACTCTCAGTAAAATCGCTCTTTGCTCATTTTGATGGCTTTCAGATTTCCATGCTCACATATGATTCGACAAAATGATCAAAATTGAATCAATTGATGAAATTGATTCAATTTTGATCGTTGATCAAGTTTCTTGATGATTAGCAACTTTTGCAACCTGTTCAGAAGTAAATCGTTGTTGATTGAATGAAGATTGTTCGTTATTCAGAATCATAAGCCAATTTACAAAAAATTTAATTTTTCGATTGCATTTCTTGTTGATTTTGCAGCTCGTGTGGCTGAATTACTATATGTATAAGTGTATCTTTGCAGATCTATATAGGAGCCGTCAACAAGCTAGCTGTACTATCTTCCGACCAACTCCTTCCTCTTCACACACTAAAAACTGGGCCTATAAAAGATTCTCCGCTATGTAACGTGGACGGGAGCAGTTGCCTGAAGGATGCAGTACTTCGTGAGACGGACAATCACAATAAAATCTTACAAATATTGCCCAATGGACTGCTACAATGCGGATCAGTTCGGCAGGGTAATTTAACTCAACAGATGATTTTTTCTTTTGGACGCAATGCTTTCAGGGATCTGCTCCGTCCATTCACGAGAGAATCTGTCAATTCTCTACCAGGGCGATCTCCCAGTCGCTTCCAACTCTCCAACTGCGTCATGCGTTTCCTTAGTTCTGTCGAAACATTACCTAGCAGTAGCTGCTTCGTTTTCCGGGGATTCTCCCTACAGGGATCCTTTCCCAGCAGTTGCGCTCAGGGAGTTGCCGAGCTTCTCTGTGGTTAATTCAGGTAGAGCTAGCAATATCCGATCTGTGCTGGTATAAAAAATTCTTTTAGGGAGCCTGGAAGGGGAAGCAGCTGTATTTTTACGGGCTGAAGTCCGTACATCATTTGCTGTGCAATATTTGAGCATATTCCACCATCAGCACTATGTTTATATAGCCGCGGTGCAGTCGCAGGATACCCGAAAGACCAGGGGAGCCCCAAGGGTTGCCAAGTTACTGAGATTTTGTGATAATGATACAAGGCAAGTGGATAAATTTTTGGATAAATTTAGCCATTCTTTACTTGCAATCATTTTGGGTTAGTTTGGTTCGGGCGCTTTCCAATCAATCACAATGGTAATAGAAATGATTTGAATTTTTCTGTTCTATTGCAACTTTTTTTCACTTTCTAAGAAAATCTTTGCTTCCTTTTTCTAAGTTTTTGTTCATTTTCTTAGCGAAATTTGCAGATGATTTTGGTCCAGTTGATTTGAAGCAAATCCTGCTTCGACTGCGACAGAAAAGTTTGAAAATTTCAAAAATTTTCCATCGCCCATTCTTTTCCTTCACTTAGCTTTCAACTCATTTTCTTCCGTATTTGATTTATTCTTTTATTTTTTTTTGTAAGATATGTAGGTGAATTTCGGTATTCAACTTCTAATAAATCATATTTCAGTTGTTCAGGAAATACCTAGATTTTTGATCACTTTGTCATTTTTTGTTCAACTTCCAAAATTTTTCTCTCTCATCTTTGAATTTTATCGACTTTGCTTGGGTGCTCTTGGCACTCTTGGCATTCTTTGGCACTTGATCTGCTCAATATTTCAGTTCAAATAGATAATATAAAGCTCTCCATTCTGAATATAGAATTTTTTGCTATCTCCTTTTTTTCCCAAAACCTGCAGCAGCTATGCATCTATTGCAGACCAATTTCAGCTCCGCTAAACGTATTTCGTTTTTATGCATTTATGAGCTTCTAGCTGATAAGTGTCCAAAACGATTTCCAATTTCAGTTTCTGATTGCTTTTTTCTTTTTCATAGCTGTCGATTCCATTACCTCCCAGTAGTACATTTTTTCTGCACTCAAGCCATTGCAAACAAAATCTCCAAGCACGCGAGAATTCAATGAAATTCGAGTCTTTGTGCGGCACCTCGTTTTTGATGAATTCCCCGATGAGTTGTTGGTCATCTTGCGCCAACACACAACGAGACAACGGGGGGGGGGGGTCTTTTGACGACGGCCGCGCTCTCAACTCTTAACGCATTTTTGGGGCTCGCGCAACTTCCTGCGCGAGCCCTGAAACGACGGAAATGAGGGAAATGAGGCGTGTGGCCGAACTTAAGACGATGTGTTTTGCTCCTTACGGGGGGCCCCTATCCGCTTTCCGCGCGTAATCACCGTCGACAATGGCTGTTGTGTGCAGCGGGGCGAGGTGCCGAGCTGCACCTATTCTTGAGCTTTGTTTGCGTTGCCAAGCTTCGTTGTTTACTTATTTGCTAATTGGCACGAGACCAAGAGCAGCGATACTATTCAGCGATAGCGATAGTGCTTGCGTATCCCCACTGGGATAGTGCCAAACACTTTTGACGGGATTTGAGGTATAGTAGCGGTCAGCGTCAGCGGTCATTTCAGCGGTCACTTTGTGTGATTGCACCATTTTTAAGACTGCAGTGGAGCAGGCGGATGGGGGTAAGCGCTAAGATAATCACAGAATATTGAAGAACGACAAAATAACATCAATGTATCCATTGACTCGTCAATGCAAACTGAAAATAGTGCAATTACGTAAGTGGCTCTTGGAGTGGGAACTACCGTGCCTGGATTCTGTCGTAATAGTGGACCTTTCAACTAAGGTTGTGCATTAATCTTGTTTTCATTGATCGAGAGACTTTTTTGAAAGCGTTTGAGCTTAGCTGCGATCACGTTTTCGTCTTCTGAAGCGTCGTCGGAAATTTGACAAAGAATGTGAGACTTTTCAATAGAGTATACATTCAATTTTTGATTTTTAATCTTGTTTCTAATCATTTGTTTTTTTGCTCTGATTTCACGTTATTTGGATAACTTCAAAAACTGGGCTCGTTGTGAAAATTTCTTCCAACGATATTTCAGTGGACAATGAGTGACGTGAATGAGTGGAGTGACAGCAATGCTGTCTGGAGCAAATGCAAAAATTTTCAAACCAAATTTACCTGATTATTTACAACAGCCAACCTTCCGATTTGAGATTTTTCGTACCGCTAATGCTTCGATAAGCTTCTTCCAAAGTTTGTTCTATCACCCTAATTCCAGCTGTTTCTCCAACGATGCTCCAACTCACATTTTTTTCTCGCTGAATGAAGGGCCATTAGAGAATCCGCCAACATATAACATCAATTCGGCTTCAAATTTGCCGAGACCCTCCCTCTAAGAACGAGAATTTTCTTTCCAGTAAGGAGTGCATGACTGGATGTTTCTATACAAAAGGTGTCGTTATGAGAATCTGTCGCGCATGTGCCCATACGGTGAGCGCGGCAAACAAAGGTTATAATTGGATTACCATGCATGTCGCGACACAATGGCCTAAGAATATAAGGAAATCTCTGTCGGGGACCAGCTATGGCCCCGAGGAACCAGCTACGGCCCTAATATGCGTGAATTGCAGGTTCGTCTCCTACTCCGAGGTGGAACTGCAATGTCGTTCGGAAGACAACTCGAACTTCCCCTACATGACCGCTGCCCATGTCGTGGGTGAGTGACCGCATGTGCTGAAGTGTGCACTTTACCCATCCATTAGCTCTGATGAACGCATGAGATCCACTTAGGCTGTAATGAAACGAGTTGAGGGCAAATGAAATGTTAATTTTAGCAGAGGAAGATTGAAATTACGACTAGGAAGATTGGCGAGGTTTGGGGAAAACCTCTGAGGATTCGTCTTTCCTCGTGTTTGTGGGGTAAAGAGCCTCCAAAAAAATTGTCGTTTTCTTCATTTGAGAGCAAACTTGATTTGATCCACTGGGTGTTTGAAATGGACATTTTACCTTAGATACTTTTTTCTGAGCATACAGTGAATGTCCGAAATTTTTTGAAGACTTTTTCTTGATGGATTTGAAATCACAATTATTATTTCCCACAATTACTGCAACTATAAATTTTTGAGAATCAAAGGTATTCTGCATTCAATCAAATTACAGTAAAATTGCTCAAAAGTTCTGACAGTTGTGAGAACATTTCCTATGCCATAGACTCGAAAATCGAGGCTTTTTCGAGTCGAATGCGATATTCAAGTTGCAAAACAACGTCTACAATTCTTTGTTTTTTTAACATTTTCGGAAGTATTCTTGTGGAATATCGAAGTTTGGAAGTGATTTTAAACAAAAAATCTTTTACAATGCTCAAAAATTCTTTTAACTCTTTCTTATCTGAGCGTAATATGTTAGCTTTCTGAAGTTTAAATGACCTATGTAAAAACTTCGCGAATTTTTGGGAAATTTTATGTGATGGGAGTGCACAGGAATAATTTTGAAAAATGTTATACACTTAATTTTTATTTTCTGTGGAAAAGTTTTGACTTATTATTTGATGGAGTTATGAAGTTTTGAAAACTCTTTCCAAATTTTTTGAAGAAATAACGAATAGGCAATATTGTTCAATACTCATATATTTTTTGACACTTTTCAACCATGTTTTTTTCTGTGAGCAATTCTCTCCTCAAGTAGTATGCCATTCTAGCTACTAACCTTTTTTCGCTCATCCTGCCAAACCCAATTCACATGCAAAGGTCGCTCTATTCACTTTTTATGAGGTAGCAGTACACATCACAATCCTCGTATTCTGTTAGGAAAACTCGTCCGAAAAAGGGAAGATTATGGATTAGTAGCTAGATTCGTTAGCGAATTAGTTTCCATGGGTTGCATGTATTCGATTTATAACTGGTTTCGTGACCTTTTCCAAGCAAGGTGCTAACTCTCTGCTTTCATCTAGACTAAGGGAAAATGAGATGATGTTAAGACGTTTTGAATTTCAGGCGACTCGCTGATCGGCGCCTTTTCGCCGTCTCCATCAGAAACGCGATCTGCAATCTGTGTTTTTTCGCTGCAACGACTAAAGTTGACCTTTTGGTACAACATCGACCGTTGTCGAGGTGGAGCCGATTCGATCGGGCTCCCACATGTCGGCAGGGACGCTAAGTGCATAAATGTATGTCCCTATGTCCTCTTAATTCCTCAAGTGCAGTCAGTCGACACCATTTCCGAAGTCAAAAGTAGTTGTGCATTTGCAGAAATCGCGAATTCCACTCGATGAGGACACCTGCGAGCTGGGCGTCGGCGGCTCGATCGAAGCCGTCGAAGTGGCGGTAGCCGAAGTTGAGCAGCGGATCACAGCGCTAGGTGGGGTCGTTCACCCACGGATCGTTCTTGCCGGCACCGACGATGGCCACATACTGCAGGTAATTTTCGGGCAACTTTCGGCCCGGGGCTTCCTCTCCTCCTTAGTGCATTCGAGGCAAATCTGGCAATGTTTTTGTGGCGTCAGAGCCATCTGGCCAGGCTATAGTGCCAGCACAACAAAGAGGCTGGTTGGTGTGATTTGCGCCCGACGACACATGCCGTGACCTATCGGCTCCCTCACTCACTCATACGTCTTCACCCTATTAGCATTTTATTATGAGAAAATTTTCCCAGAAAATGAGAAAATCCAATAAAAAAGCTGGTAAAATGAATGATGTGATAGAAAGAAGAATTGAAATCTCTTAAAAAGCATCCACTTACTTCAAGAACCGGAAGTCAAAAAAATTTTCCAATGTTTTTGTACTCTGTTGATTTGTTTTTAATTACGTGAGGACTGCGCAACACTTAGCACTTTGTTTTGCGCGTATGATGTGACGACCAAGGAAAACGTCAATCAGCTGTTAGCAGTCCCTAGAGACATGATTTATTGCCCAACAAAAGATGGATTCGGGTTAGCCCAATGGATTTTGCTTCTCGGCAGCAAGGTCAAGCGAGGGGCTCAGCAGCTAAAGATAAAAGCAGAGTGAGGGACAGTGAGAACACAAATCTCATTGTCCTAAAGTGCTTAGAATACCTCATTGCTGCAATATGGGAAAGATTTATGTCCCATACTTTGCCCTTTTTCTCGGTAATTAATTAGTCGCTGTAAACAATTCATCAACATTGGCTGAAAGTGCCTCGACTTTATCTTTGTCAGATGCAGAGGTTACAGTGTAAAGGGGAGGTGGAGGAAATTGCTCATAATATCTGTTTATTTATTTAATCTACTCCCTTCAAGTCAAGAAAAAAACACGACGGAAAAGAACACAACATTTCTTGAGAGAGATCAAAATAAAATTCTAATAAAAATCACTTTGGTACTAACAAGAGAAGTCCTGGCAGAGCCAAACAGATAGCAATCCATAGAGCTTATATCATGCCCCCACTCCGCTAACAAAAAGACTGTGAAAGTCAAGAAGCAGTCTTGTCTTTTTTTAGATCACATTTTGCCAAGAATGAACATTCTAGAAAATTTGAAGTTGTAGGAATCCCGCTTCTTCACTCGTTTTCATGTAAGAAACTTGGAAAAGCAAATTAGTTTTTTCATCGTTGCTTAGCAATTCTTCAGAATACAATAACAGTTTGATGCATCTCTCGCCATCCTCTACAGTATCCACCTAGTTTCCAAAAATATCATAAAAATGAGGGAACGTGTTCAAAATAAATTCATTTTCTCAGTGAGGCTATACGAAAATCTATTTTCTTTACCAATGCCATTCCAACGTGGTCTTCTTGATGCATGTTAAATTCTCATCTATGACATGTGTCAGAACCAGGCATCCTTCACGGTTATGAGATGCCATCGAAAATAGGAATCTTGCTAGGCATAAGGATTCCGAATACTAACCAGTCTTTGAAAAATATTAGCCAGTCTTGAAACAATTTCATTTGAATTTTTTATTCAGTATTGAAATTTTGTTAGAAGAACAAACAAGTTATGAGAATTTTTTTTGGCAAACAAATGGTCCGAAATTGCAAAAAAAAGCAAATAGCAGACAATCTAAGAAAAGTTTTATCCTGACTTTAGTCAACAATGGAGTAGACCTGATCTCTGGAGAGTTAGCAAGGTTTATTCGATAGATATCCTTGTACAGCTCGAATGACCATTAAAAGTGCATATTAGCTTTGTCTTGGCTCCGATTTCTTTCTGGTGAAGTTTATGCGCGGCGCTCCGCTCTCCCGGAATTAACGCCTGCCGTAAACTGTAAACATACGGGTACTTCTTTTGATGTGTGAATGGGCCTCAATGGCAGCCTGAGTTTGTTTGTCCCCTTGACCAGCGTCGAATGCCCAGCCGGAGAGACTTTATCGGCGTGGAAGAAGCAGTGAGATTAATTGACAGAATAGGGGGGGGGGATGCTTAGGGGCTCAAGTACGAGTGAGAAAACAGCTTGTGATCAAGGAAATCAGGAGTGATTAAAAGTGGTGCGGAATTCAGTGCCATCACATAAACTTGAATATTTCGAGCGGCTAGTTTCCCGGCTAACCTAATTTTTTTAATCCAAGTGACTAATGAGGAGTGTTTTCAGTTCAAATCAAAATCGCCAACGAATCTGGAGCAGTACGATAGTCGAACTATTGAAGAAGATCGAATTGGCTCGAAAGTGAATGAAATTCATGTCCAAGGGACTACCATCTATGCAGCTCTGCCAAATGGGGTTAGTTTTTGAAATTTGCAAGAAAACCTTACGACACTCCTAATTTGTGTCTGTATTAGAGGTCAAAACTCGTAATTGTTATTCAATATGTTGGAGTACTCAAAATCGGAAACCGTAATAGTCACGTGCAATGATTTCTGGAAATGTGAAATTTTTCGTCAACAAATTATTTAATAATCGAATTCGAACCCGGACAAACATTCGGGGTGCAAAAAAATACAAAGATGAGAATTCTGGAGAATTCATTTGGTGAACTCGCAAATTATTAGAGCTTTAAAAATCTTAGATTTTACTCTTGAATTTGAACGCTATTTGAAGCCGTGATCGGTTAATGTTTTGAGTATTATCAATCTTAGACACAAACTAACCCTTCAGAAATTTTGCTTTCATAAAGGTGATAAAACTAAGCATAAGCACACTTTTGCTAAGTGAATTCTTCTTGCCTGGAGTCTCTTGACAGCATGCTATTTCCCTAGAAGTTTTTCCTGACATTGCTTTGCAGTATATTTTTTCATTGTCGCTCACATTCTATGAGCAGAAAATTAGCCAGCTACTGACATTTTACTCAGCTTTGGCAACAGAATCTCTTTGGGGTGAAGGAAGTCAACAGAAAAACTTGTTCCGTTTCGCAATGTGCAGATGTTGGCTAGTGACAGCTGTAGCAGCTGAGGATTGCGTGAAGAGTGTTTGAAAAGATGGCAATGTCAGGCAAAAGCGATAAAAGGGGCCAAAATAAATTTTTTCTTATTTTTAAGCTGGTGACTTTACCCCTGGCTTCGTGTCACACGCTCTCAACCTGTGCGGCTTGCATTTCGTCACCGGATCCGATGTGCCAGTGGTGTCCAGCCAATGGAAAGTGCACCGCAGCTATACACTGCCCTTCGGCTACGGTTGGAAAATTCTTGATTAGTTCTTAACCCAGAAAGAATTACGGCAATTTAGGTGAACGTTTGTCCGGAGCAAAATGGACCGCCATCACCTGCGTCAATGTCCATTGACGATGCACGAAATATATCACTTCCCATCAAACATCTGTCTCAACCAGATGGATTTGTGAGTGCTCATTCGTTACTTCTTTCAACGCTATGACAAATTAGGGAAATATTAAATTTCATTTTTTTAAAGTTGGTTGTCAGTAGCTAGAGAAGTGTGTTAATGGTTTCCAGAGCGGGGCAGAGAGGGGAGAGTTAACTCCAAAAATTTGGGACAGAAATCTTCTAGCACACCAAGAATTTTTCTGGGATGATGCTCAAATTTCCAGCAAGATTCTGACTCTAAACGCCCCAAAACCATCTTTAAATAATAGCTTTTGCTCTCCAGTTTTACTCATTGTGGTCTTAAGTGAGGCTGCGTCCACAGTCACCAGTGCCAAAGCCGTGCAAGCACCCACATGTTCGCATGGACGCTGGCACGGCGCTAGCACGGCGTTGGCACCCGAGCAACTCTGTACGCAGCCTAAAAGTTGCTTTATACTTTTGCAGCTATTTGAGCCATTTCTGAAACTTTTGCTAACATTCCTATAGTTGAAAGAGGCCACAATATCAGGCCACAATACCTGTCCACCTTTCGATCCATTCTCCTAAATTTACTGAAACATGAACTTTATCGTAAAAGAATCCTTACTCTTAAACTTCCTGGGTCTTCCTGGGTTTGTAATGTAAAACCATGAGTTTTTATGAGACTATGTCCTCTGCCAGACTTTAAGCGGCGCTAGCAACTTGAATATAATATTTTCTTGTAGATTCTTCCCAAATCTCAAACTTTTTTTGAGTTCAGTTGTAGCGTTTTAGCTGTATCTGTGCAAATTCGGCTCCTCGTCGAGTCCTGCAATTTGGACTGAATCTGGTGTCTCTTGCTCGCTGCCTCCACTTCATCCATCGAACTCACTGCCTTCTTACACCGAACTGCTTGCTCTTACCACATCTACTGGTTCGCATCATATCGTTGAGCATAACTTCACTGTCTACAGCTGCGGAGCTTTTAAGACGTAGGTCTCGTCTGGAAGTTTTGAGAGGGTTTTATCACAGTAGGTACTTCAGCTGCTCCTCCTGTACATCTTCGGAAAATTTTTGTGATTGGTGCACTAAGTCGCGCAAATGTGTATCAAGCGGAAAATGTTCGGGGGTAAGAGGATTGCCTATTTTCATTGAAAAATTTATTTGAAATTTTGCCTTTGAGGAGAAAGCTGACGAATGTGTGCACATTATGGAGCCGTCGCGCATCATGATCCCATTAGGAAGCTCTCATGGATTTTCCTTCTCAATGGCTCATCTGGATCGGTTACCAAGAGATCGAGATTACTCGTGTAGGCTGGTACTGAATGGGACTCCAACCACTACGAAGGCGACCCTTACAAAGGTACGAAAATAACTGCAAATGCTATTTTTTGCTAAAGTACTTTTATGCAAAAGAAGGCTAGAAGTGCAAAGAATTATGACAACGTTTTTTTTTCAAAATTGGCTCTGTAAGTGCTACTTTTGCTGCCAAACAACGAGTGTGATCAAAATTTGTGGATGTTTTGCTACTCAGATAAATTCAAGCACAAAATATTCACTAGCAATTTGGAAGAAAAATCTGTATACTCATATATGTGAACCTCATCTCAATCATTTCTAACCCTTTTTTCTATGGTAAATAATGCTACTCATCATAATACAGTTTTCTGAGAGAATCTTACCTTTTTATCTTTGTCTCTGACACTGCAGTGCCTTCATCTCCTAAAAGAGTATGCTTTCTTGCAAGATGTTGCTGAGAACGATGAGAGCTGAGATTGTATCTGGCAGTGCAAGAAAATGTTGAGTGACGGCATTTCCAATGACATTTAGCACTCAAAGGTCACGAGAACTCCGTAAGCTTTTTCCTGCTCTGCTCATTGGGGATGGTGAAAAAAATTCACGTTGCGCTTTATATGCAGCAAAAATTAGGACGTTTAGCTCCGAACCTGGCTGAAATATACTGCTATTGAGTGTTTATTTGTGTTGCTCTTGTTTTTATATGTTGTTTTTATTGCTCTCTCACACATTTACCTGTCTTGCTCGAATCATCGTAGTTAATTCATTCACTGACTATCCTGCCGGCTGGAACAGCTCAAATCAAGCAACTTAAGTGAGTGAAAAAGGAGCGCAACTTTTATGATTGAAGTTCTTTCGATATGAGACGTTTTCATTGTTTTGCACACTGTTTTATGTATTAAAACAAATTTCTTCTAATTTCTTTGAGCGGAAATTAGCACTTTCGAAACACATAAATGCTGATTTTAGGACTCTGTAAAATGCGCACCGTTGCGATTATCGTACACGAATCCCTTACCGAATGTGACAGTCCCGCTAGAGCTGGTACAAGGCGACGACGTAATTGACAGCACAGATGGTGAGAACACGTCCTTATGAAATAGGTGGTCTATCAAAATATTTGTTTTCAGTTTCTATCTACTCGTGCTCGCTTTTGGCAGCCGACTGTTCATCTTGCGTATACATCTCATCTACTTGGGGTTGTTCGTGGTGTAGTGGACGTTGCTCTCATGATTGTACCCAACCAGCTCAGGAGGTCGTCTGTGATCGGCCGCTGATTACTTCAGTATGCTTCTTCAACCTTTTTATTGATGGAGAAGTGTTATTGATGAGTTTTTGCAGTTCTCACCCAGTAGTGGACCGACAGAGGGAGGTACGGAAGTCACCATTCATGGCAGAGATCTCGGCTCTTCAGTCGAAGATGTGAAGGATCGGGTTTTTGTTGCTGGCAGTCGCTGCACTGTGATCAGCTATGAAATCTCCAAGAGACTCACTTGTAGAGTTGAAAAGGTTCGTGTAGGGTTCTAGCGCGGATGTTTTCAAAATCTGTTCTTTAGGGAATATCATCTGGTCCAATCCGAGTGACTATAGGAAAGACAAATTCAAGAATGGCTGAGTCGGTAATGCTGTACTCCTTTGTGGAAGTGAATGTGTTCTCGGCATATCCGCTATTTGCTCCCGTTTCTGGAGGAACAAAGGTGAATACTAGTCTTTTTTTGATTATGAATAGTATACCTAATTATACGTAGGTCAGTAGATAATCTAGTGAAAGAATATATAAATGATTTAGCTTTTTTAGAAAAAGCTAAATCATTTATATACAGGGTTGGGGGAAAGTCTTTGAACACGGTATTTTGAACGTAATGATGAAGCTAGGCAAGATGTTTACATGAAATCAATAGGTAATGTTTATTTGACTGTCTGCTACATAACGGTGGCTTTACAATTCGAAGATTCCTCCTTTGACGCGAGCACAAGCTCGGAAACGCTTGGGAACGCTGTCCATGGTGGCACGGAGGTGCTTCACGTCGATTTCTTCCAACGCCTTCTGAAGAGCAAGTCGCAGAGACTTAACAGTCATGCGTGGGTGAGCGCAGGCTTTGGCCTAAAGAACTGACCACACGCTGTAGTTGGGGGTATTCAGATCCGGCCAATACGGAGGCCATTCCGCAGGAGTTATCAACACCTTGATGTTGGTTTGGAGCCATGCTTGAACAAACTTCGCTTTGTGCGCAGGTGCGCTATCCTGCTGGGGACCCCAATCGCTCCTGGTAAAATGGGTATTGGTTCAGGACAACAATCCCTTCTTCAGAATGCTATCCACGTGCGTAGCGGTGTCCACCTCGATGTCCTGGGATACAAAAATCGCCAGCATCTTGCTATCGGAAGCGATCGCCGCGCAAACCGTTACAGAAGTCGGATGAAGCCTGCTTTTTCGAGTCAACCCTTGCTACTGACTTCTGGGGGCGATTAGGTAATGATTCTGTTGTTTGGCAATCGAAAACTTTTCTCACGGTAAAAATTTTGATGTCAGAAAAGAGTATCGTTCGGTGGCGTGCCTTGGAGAGACGTTCAAACAGTCAATGGTCCCTGCGCAGTCACTTCAGTTTCGTGTCCTCACAAAAAGCATGAAATTTTAGCATCCTGACAAGCTTCATCGCAAGGCCCTTTTTACGATGTCGGAGACTGTCCTGACAGAGACGGAAAGCTCTGAAGCTAGCTCAATCAAGCTTCGCCGAGGATTGCGACGAAGGCGCTGGCGAACGATTTTCAGAATCTCGTTACTGTCCGCAGTAGTCAATTTACCACTCATACAATAGTCCTGGATGCCGTTCATATCCTGGAAACGACGCAAGGTGGGAAAGACCTTCATCTGTAAAATTTTGGGAGCCCGCGCAATTTGCTGATCAGCCATCCTCTCCTCGTGCATCTTCTCCACCAACGTTCGCTCCATTCCAGAAGGCATATCTCCGATAGGAAAAAAGCTAATAGTCCAGTTTTTTGAGGGCTTGTACTTAAGGGTATAGGAAGCAAACAAATGTAATTAGCATACAACAATTTGTGGAAAAGCCGAACATATAAGGACATCAAAAATTGTTCAAAGACTTTCCCCCAACCCTGTATTCTATATCTTGAACGACCAACATCAGCTACCACCACCACAGAATTAACATCTCAGTCTGTACTTACTGAACCTCGTGTGTCTATCATTGGAAACGTCTCTCTTTCTGCAGCTGCATTGTCGGTGTTGAACATGGGACCAAGTTTCGCACCCACCCAAAAAATAGGTCCCCGGGTAACGCAAAAGACTGTTGGCCGCTTACGCATAGTTCACGAACGCCTGCGACAGAAAGCAAAACAGAGCGATGAAGAACATAAAGACAGTATAACAAGCAACAGCGGTACACGTTTGCCTCTTAATCCTTTCCCATCTCTGAGTTTCAAGCCGCAAGGTCCTCATCAAGTAATAGATGCAAAATTTCGCACATTAGCCACATCTGTTCTCACACTTCTAACACGCTTTTCGAAACGACATCCCGTCTCCAATTTAACACCAGCCCAACGTCTTGGTCTACGAGAACTTCATGATTTACGTTCTAGTAAAAAGTTCAAGATATCCATTAGCGATAAAGGAGGGCATTTCGTCGTTTTGACCAGAGAACTAGATATGGCCATAACAAGACACCATTTGAAAGATGAGACATTATATCAAGCTTCCTCTGAGAAAGAATTTGCAAAAGAGTACCGCCGTTTGAACCGACTATGGACAGACATTGCAAACTCCGTTGGCTTACCAAAGAAGCTAATATCACATTTGAGATGCGATCTGCCCAGTGTCCTGTCCTTTACGTGCTCATCAAAACACACAAGCTCACTGCCAGTAACTTCCTTTCCTCAGATCCTGCAGAGTTCAAGATAAGGCCTATTGTAAGTAGTTGTGGAGGTCCCAGTGATAGGATATCTTGGCTGCTGAACTTGATTCTCACGCAATTGCTTCGATTTATTCCTGCCCATCTAACAAATATTAGGTTGGAAACTAAGTTTTGCAACTGGCCTCATAACTTCCCTCTCACTCAACATGGCGCACTCAAATTTTGCCACTGCGTTGGTTATTACGTAAGCTACATGTGCAGCTTCTGTTCTACCAAATTCTGACGTCGCAGTGAGGGTTAGATAGGTGCATGGTATGAAGGGGAAAAATTCAAAGTTTGACGGATTTGGCTGAAACTTGGCGTAGAGGTGTTATCCGACATGCTGATCACGAAAACGATAGTGAAATTGCGTGAAAAGGGCTTTTTTGTAAGATTATTGTAGGTGTACGATATGTCTCACCCTAAACAAGGAGAAAGGCGTTCATTCAACAAATAAATGTGATATTCGCGTTTGGCAGGTCAAATAACCTTACTATGTAAAGTCTCGGCGGAATTTGAGCTTCGGACTCTTTAGTCATTGACGGTTGTCCCCAGCAGCTCTTGCGTACATCGACTCGTTCGACTTTATGAGGACGCCAGATCTCGACATGTCCCTAAATTTTGTTTCTTTCTTAATAGACCAAAGGAGTCAACCTCCAGCAATAATTTATAGATGAATCCGGATTACTGCGCATGGTCTAGGCCGCCAAAGGCTTCATTTTAGCTTGAAACCCCAAAAATTCGCAAATTTCACTAGTTTTCGAAAAACGCCTGAAACTTTTCTATTTCGTGTTCAAAATTTAGACAATTTGTGCTGACTTGTAGCTCACATTGCCTTCTACATATTGCCAAAGTTTGAGTGCGCCATATCCAAAGAGAGCGGAGTTATGAAACCAGTTGCAAAACTTAGTTTCCAGCCTAATACTAGCATGTTTCTCGAACAAGTCAGTAAGGCACCGCTAACCAAAGAATGTGTCATCGAATCATTCGATGTCACTTCATTGTATACAAACGTGTCAAATGAAGCGGCCATGGAAGCCGTCTACGAAATACTATGTGAGCACCATGATTCCATCAATATGTACGGTTTTGATATCCGACAAGTGATGGTGCTTTTGAAAGGATGCCTTAGCTGCAACATTTTTCGATGGTGTGGGCAGTACTATAAGCAAATTAGGGGATTGGCTATGGGGCAGAGGCTGGCACCTGTCGTTGCCATTGCCTATATGTCCAAAATCGAGAGCCCCGTACTTGCGCGCAAACTAATACTTTATTGCCGCTATATAGATGATTGTTGTATAGTGTGCGCAACACAAGACGAACTAGACGCTTGCTTCAATCTGCTAAACAACCAATCCCCGCACATAAAGTTTACACGAGAAAGGCCCAGCGAAAACTGGCTGCCTTTTCTCAACGTTCAACTGCAATTGCGTGCTGGATCATACAAGACCAAGTGGTTTCGAAAACCGAGCAGCAAAAATATTTTAGTTCACTATCTCTCGGCCCATCCTTGGAGCACAAAAAGGTCGGTAATCTGCAACATGTTTAGGACTGCTAAAGCAGTTTCCTCCGATCAAGAACGCGCCACATCGTTGAGTCTTGCTAGACAAATTGCGCAGTCCAACGGTTATCCCACAAGCCAGTTAACAAAACGTACCTGGCAACAATACAGACCGCGCGCAAGCGATAATGAAGTCAAAATACCTTTTTGTGTTCCTTTCATATCTAAAGATTTCAGTAGAGCGATAAGAAAAAGTTTAGAACATGCCGGCCTTCAAAACTCCGTTAGAATTATTGATATTCCGCCTCCGAGTCTCAAAAAACAACTAATTCGTAACCGCTCTTACGACCGACTTTGCATGAATACCGATTGCGTCGTCTGTCCATTTGGTCAATCAGGCGATTGCATGGAGGGCGGAGTAGTTTACCTGATAACCTGTCAAAGTTGCGGGAAAGAGTACATTGGAGAAACCGGCAGGCCTCTGTGTGTGAGAATCAAAGAGCACCTAGACGGTCTCAGAAAATCTAAGTCCAACACCCCTCTAGGCGCGCATCGCAGAGAAGATCACTCAGATCAACTATTCAACATAGCTGTCACAATCTTAACGCGTGAACCCGAAGTAATTCCTCGTAAAACGCTGGAGGCGTTTTGGATAACATCAAAAGCCCCTGCCATGGACCGCAAGGAAGAGGGCGTTGTCATGAATAGTGAGCTAATCTCATATCAGTCCCTTTGCGGATTTGATCTACACTGAGATTAGAATCATCTATAAAAGGCAATTATACTGGTCTCCGGTACTACTAACTGTACGGACACTGTGCTTGGTGGTTGCTCAACCTTGATTCGAAGATTGCCGAGGTGAGCATTGACACTGGTTCCCGTCACGGCTTTCAGACTAACCTAATGTTGAGTGTAGCCTAAGCTTGAACGAGGTGTTTGAGGGGACAAACCACTAATGTGTGCGGCCTTCCAGGCTCGGACGAAGGTGAAGGCACCGAAACGTTAGCCTGTTTGAATAAAGCGTGTTAACGATCTTGGTTATCGGCTATAGAATACGTATACGAATAACTAACTCATGCCAAGATTCATCGATAATCGAGCTTGGACTTTAAAAGCTAAATCATTTATATATTCTTTTTTATCAGAAAAGAATTTTTTTTAGGTCCGCAGTAAATAGCGTGATTGAGCAATTGTTTTTCTGACTTGATGTTCTAAAATTATTTTTACATTGGCAAGTAATTTATGTTAATACATTTGACTAGCTAAAAGTTAGGAACTCTTTTTTGAGTTTCAAAAAATTACTAAGCTTTTCGTATCATTTTTGCAAGGTGCACACAAGAAGAAAATTTGATCATTTATGAATTTCGGAATATTATTTCATCTCTCTTTTTGGAAAGCAGAAAGCATCAGACTGTCGCCATGAGAGAGACACTTCCAAATTACATTCCGGAAAAAAAGTAAAAGAAGAAACAAAAGGGAGCAAAATCTCTATAAAACGAAAGCTTGGCACTTTAATAGCTCCCCCGATTTAGGTAACTCTATATGGACAAAATCTGGATGCTGGCTCAAATGTGACCGTAACAATTGGTGATGCTGAATGTGACAATATTGTCGTAAGCAGGTCTTCGAAAAGTCAAGATAGCAGAGATTAAATTTTTTTTTAGCGAAACTCCACATCATCACTGATGTGCTTTGTCGGCAGTGCTCCATCACCGACCAAAGGAGCTAAGATTACTGTGGCAATTGACGCAGCACTTATGACTGTTCCGAACACATTCGATTTCCGGCCAGATCCCTCGATAATCACGGTTTATCCTCTAATCAGCTTCAAGTCCGGCGGAAGGGCGGTTACTGTTGAAGTGAGCCTACTTTTATAGTTGGATCGTTATTTTTATGCTTCACCCAAACAAAGGTATGAATGTTAAGGGCACAAATTTCGATGCAGTTCTATCGGCGAGAATGTTCTTTGTTTCCTCCACGGCTCCGCCATTCGAGGTTGTGTCCAAGCTCTCTTCGTGCCAGATCCAGAATGCAACTTATATGTTCTGCTTAACACCTGAACTGCTCCATGGATCACACTCTAGAGCTGCATATGCTAGGTGAGGATACCGTGCACATTTATGATTTTCAAAACTTTGGAAAATACGTACCAATATGCAGCGAACAAGTAAACTGCAGAATCTCAAAATGCTGTAGCAACTCATGTATTTTCTGCCTTCTGTATCTGCTTGAGTTCAATATAAAATATTATTCAAATTAATAGGCTTTATTTTGAAGATATGAACTAGCTAGTTTCTAAACATTCTTTTTATCTCTGATCATAAAATAGCCCTTCGTCTCAAAATAGGTCTGTATTTTCGATCTTTTTATTTTGTCAGAGAGCCGGTATTGAGTAATCGCAGTCTTCGATGTATTGTGTTAAGCGTATGGATACATCATGTTAGCCGACTATCTCGCAACTCAAATTCACCTTTTCCTTGACAATAGAAAATTTTTCCCGCTGGTAGAAAAGTTACAGGAGAGAAGGCAATTGATCTACAACTTAACTCTGCTTTTTCTTTCCACGATTTAGAAAGTAAACAGGAAACAAACTCAATTATCACATAATAATTTGTTGCTCAAAGTCAGCGGCATGAGCAGATCCTCGAAAATTTGGATTTTCAAACAAAATACTAGATGCAGTGTCTTTTTGAGTAAATGCAAGTAAATGCATTCGATTGAGTAGACTTTGCTGAGTATTCTGAACATCAAAATCACAAAAAATCACACAGTGTGAATCACAAATAAGTCCCTAACCCTTCAATCGGGTGTAGTTCAGTACATTCTCAACTATACTTTCATTTTGTTCATTGCCCCACACCTTCAACTTAAGCTTTGCTGCAGGTTCCCTGTGGGTTTCGCAATGGAAAATGTGACATCCGTACGTAATCTCGGCCATCGGATACAGATGAGGATAGTGCCAGACCCTGAGTTCGCTCCATTCAAAGGTAAGCCGCTCTATGAACCTTCCAGAATTTTTGGTAGGCACTTTGACAAAGAAAGCTCTAAATCATGAAAGGTTTATGTCTCCTTCTTTATTCGCAAACTCTATATCCGGTCCAAATGGAAAGTGCATTAGTTGCAATCTACTTTACCCCTTCGCTGTAACAGAGCTAATTTCCGGATTTCATTGTTTTTCATTAGAATGCTTCTAAAGCAAGCTTTCCTTACCACTCTAGTGATGCATTTTGAAACAATAAGGTTACAATCGAACGAAGAACAATTTCCATTAGGCATTCGCATTCATCAAGGGGATCAACCATTAATCCTTGACGGAAGCCATCTAAATGAAGCAGCAGAACCGCAGGATTACAAGGCAAGAGACGGACCCATAGTAACCTTTGGAAGTTGTTTTACTCCCAGTGATTTCCAGATCTTCATTGGATCCGAGAGATGTTACGTCACTTTGGTTGATTCACGTCAGCTGGTTTGTACTGGACCTTCTAAACAACCTGAAGCTACCGATGAGAGGGGTAAAGCTGCCGTTTGTTTACCTAAAAGGTCCAATGTCACCCATATAGGTAATCCCATTGCCGGTGGGCTTCCCCTTGTCTCGGCTACGGTAGGAAGACTTCGCACTGAATTGGGCTTGATCGAGTATGTGGATCCATTAGCAACGCTAAGACTCTGGGTGCTTGTGAGTTTTCATCTCAATATGTTAGAAATTAGGGTTTATTGGTCTTATTCTAGGTGGTGACAGCCCTAACAGCTTTGTGTTCCGTTCTCGTACTGCTTGCTTTTCTCTGGAAGAAAAGAAGGAATGAACGTGAAAGAGACTATCGCAAGATCCAAATGCAGATGGAACACCTCGAAAGTAATGTGCGCAAAGAATGCAAGCAGGTCTTTGTATACTGTACCTCTACAGCATATATTTCTAATTCTTTCTTTCCAGGCATTCGCAGAACTGCAAACAACCATGGAAAGCTGCGGTGATGATGATTACGAAGGAATGGATGTTGCCACTTTTTCTGAGTTTCTGCATCGGCTTTTATGGGAAGACAATTCGTGGACTCATTCCACTTCTCTCTATGCATCCACTCTGCCTGTCACCTTGGCGCAGTTCGATGCTCTCCTCAGCTGTAAACAATTTATCTTTTCGGTAAGAAGTCCAACGGTTAATCTTCTGATGAAAAAGACTCTAATAAAGTTTCAAAATCTTTCAAGAAACGCTTTGCCGATATCATTGAAAAAGATACAATTTGGAATGAGCAAGAGCAAGGCAAATGCACTTCCAACGAACCGATTTTTGAATTTTGATAAGCAGAGTACAAATTTTCTAATGAATTCAAGCTGTAATTTTCGTTTTCTCGTACACTTTTGGGTAGGAAGAGTATGGTACCTAGATACTGAGCAGGTCAAAAAGAAAAACAATCCATTTGCATCAGATTGTTATGTGTATAAGTGTCCGTTGCAGATTGTCGAAACAGCTGAATCGGAGCCCACTATGACCCTTGGAGAAAAAAGTATGCTGTCTTCATTGCTGATCGCGGTGTTACTTCGAAACTTCCAATACTGCACTGACATCGTCTTATCGCTTTTGCGAGCCCATATAGCCAAGAGTGTCCATGTGAGTGTTTTTATCATGAGAAAAAATGGTCTCCTGAAAAATATCCATAAACTGTCCCACTCTTGAACATTCATTATTGTGATTGGCAGTGTAAAGAACTTACATTTCCTCAGTCAAAAGCATTGAGTGAAAGGCACCATAATAACGGATTTTCTTGTAAATTTGCCACAGCAGAATTTGTTTGAGACTTTGAAAACTTAAGAAAGCGTAAGAGATGTAACAATCTATGTAGTTTTTTCCGTACGGAGAGTGGATTGTACAAGCTCAAAAACTTCAGCCAAGCTTTTCTACCCTAAGAGGGCAATACCCTTCACTGCTGCGGCTCGTAATAGTTTTAGACAGAGCAATGGAGCTGTAATTTAATTCATCCAAGATCGCCCTTTTCTTGCTGAAGTCTGAAAAAGACGAAGCAAGGGCACTGACTTCCAGCTCAACGCTTCATAGTGATGTCATTCTTGCAATCAGTCAAAGCAGACTTAAGATTCCAGGCTGGGAATAGCGACATACTTTTTCGAAAGAGCGATAGTATTGTTGAGAAAATGGTAGCGAAGTGGTTGACGATTTGCCTCTACGATTCTATCTCACAGTATCAAGCAAATAAGTATAATACTCTGTTCAAAGTGAGTTCCTATGACTTAATTACGAAGACTCAATCAATGAATTGATTTTTAATTAAGGCACTTAAATTCCAAACGGAACGAGGTCCTGTGGATGCTGTGACTGGCAATGCTCGGTACACCATCAATGAGTCTAAACTCCTTCGCGAAATAGTAGACAGCTCTTATGTCGTAAGTTTTTATAATCTATACTCATAGAAGTAGTGGTTTTAATCGAAAAATATGAAATTCTTTCTCAAAACTATGTGCGAATATTGGCTGCAAAATTTGGTATTTAGGATTGCTTGGTCACCAACCTGGATGGGAGAGGGCCTTATACTGTCAGAGCAATCGCATGTGACACGATCTCACAGCTAAAGCAAAAGATCCTGGACCACATTTTCAAACGTGTACCACACAGTCAGCGTCCAGCCTTGACCAGTTTTGACCTAGGTAAGCCTCAAAACTCTAAATACTCTGTTCTGCTCAAGCAAATATTTCCAGAACTAATTTGCCCATCGCGAGGTCGGGTGCTTCTGTCCGACTGGTCCGGGCCAAACCCACCAAAGGGACCAACGAAGCTGAACACCTTGTCCCACTACAGTATCACTAACCAATCTCGTATAGCCATGGTTCCTTCCGAGAAAGGTTCAGGCACTTATCGAAGTATGCAAAAATTCACAATATTTTTTCCGAAAGAGTATCACTAACCAATTCGGCTAAAACTTTCAACAAAGTCAATATAAAATGATTTCAGAGCCTATTCTTTTCAAGGAGTCAAAAAATGTTGATCAGATCTTTTTAACCAGAAATTGTTGTTTTAGAGTTTTAAATCGACAATCATTTTGTTTCGAAAATTTTTAGATTTGTAAAATGTTACTAGTATTATAGATTGAACGTTTTTCAAGCAGCTCTAGAATGAACTTCCTTTGGCGCAAGATATGGACCAACCTACCAATTTGTATAAGAAGTCTCATTTTTATTTCTAGACTCGCTCGCTGACTCGGGAAAATCTTCGTGGTCCTCACTAGATCGCTCTTCTCCAGTCTATCCACCTAGTCGTTTCTGCCACCTATCTAGCCCTTCGCGAACGCTAACTATGGAGAAAAAGAAGAAGATAGACGAAAGTATTCCGAAGTCTATACCTGAGGTTTACCTTACCAGACTTCTCACAAGGTAAGTTTCAAGTGCTTTTTTGCACTTGCCGTTACCGTACAAACTTCATTTTAGTAAGGGAACAGTGCAGAAGTATATCGAGGACTTCTTAGAATCTGTCTTGTTTTTGGATTCCTCCACATATCCGCCTATTCTCAAACGGACTTTCGATTTACTTGAAGAGGAGGCAGCTAGGAATGGGGTATGTCAATATTGACCGACTTTTCTAGGTTTAAAAGTAACCGTTTCCATTGGTTAAGATATCAGACCATCAGTTGGTGCAGCAGTGGAAGTCAAACTTGTACGTGCTGCGAGTATGGGTACACCTTATCAAGAATCCCAAAATTTTGCTGGATGTCTCGGAATCCATAAGTCAAGACGGAAACTTGTCTGTTGTGGCACAAACACTGGTAAGCTCCCCTTTTGAGCTTATGAGTTTTTCCTGTAAAAACCACTTTCGTTTCAGGTGGACTGCTTCTCTTTCTCGGAGCAGTCGCTTAACGCACATTCACCCAGTTCTAGGTTACTCTTTGCAAAAGTAAGGTTTTCGCTTGCCCTTTAAAACCGTAATGGGCCAACTAACCCATTCAGGAAGTAGCCCGCCTTCGTCCTTTGTCTACAGATTTATTCCGAAGAATTCGGCGGCAACCACCCGTATGTGAGGAAGCGTTCACTGAAAAATTGAACGAGGTAGCGAATGTGAGTCAGCCGGAACATATTCCAAGACAGAAATAGTAAATCAAATCGTTTTAGGACCTCCGCGACTGTACTCGTTCGACAGTGGCGTTATCCGAACTGCTGACATGGGTGCGAGGAAATGGCGTTCGTCTGATTGAAGTAAGTCTTAATCTCACTTGAAGGCAGCTTAAGGCGGATGAGAGTACCGGGTTTTATGCGTGAAAAAGAATTAGGAAGCGTGTACTAGAGTATTGCCCAAGCGGCAGCTCATAGGATTCATTGGTGGTTGAGAAACTTGTCTAAACTCTTACCCACACCGTATATTTTCGTGAGAATACGGTACGGTAAAATACATGGTAAGGAGGGCGACATTTCAAATTTCGCGCCCACAACAGAAGCCCCACATTTAGCATTCTTGGCGGCAATAATAGGGGCTGGGGCCTCGACTAGTATTGGTCTCAGCTCGATATGGTGACGTATGGTAGAAGTGGGCGGAGCTTCATTTTGCAATCGCTTTGCACGGATTTTCGCTCTACGCGTGCCTCTGCAAATGGTTACGGTCTGGGCGGGAGTTTAAATCCGTATTTCTCGCACATTAACAATTCACGTGAGTTACCCTTTGGTTCTGGTTTGCGGCTGGAAGGCGGGGCTTCGTGACGAAGGCTAGGTAATGATCAGAGAGCCCGCACGCAGGAGAGACGCGGACTGCGGGCGCGAGCGGCCTTTACTAGGTTACAAAGCCCCGCTTTCCAGCCGCCAAGCCGGTTGAATCAAAGGTTACTTCTTGAATGGTGGCTTAGTTAGGGCCTTCGCATCAGTTTCACACAGAGAAGCACATACTCAAATATACCTGGAGTGCCTCAACTTCCATAAATCTCTCGTTCAGGTGCTGTCCGCAGATGACGTCTGTACCTCACAACGCTTGCCATCAAGGTTATCTCAGGTTATCAACTTGTCACTTGACCCAACCGATCACATATACTCCACTATAATCGACGAAGCCTGAGGATCCCCATACCGGTTACTGTAAAGTTGTTGACAATCTCGTCATATCACACTGCCACGGGTCAGGGTTGCACGTTGACCCTCTGGAGATTATTCGAAGAGTACGAATAGTGTATTAGAGATAAAATTCATAATTGGCTTTGATTTGCTGCCCGAGAAGTCGCTATGGTCGATGTTTTCAGCGATCACCGGCCTCATTCTAGTCTTTCACTTGCCTGCCCTGTTGATCGTTTATGTATATTGTAAAGAAATAAAAATGTAAAGAATAAGTGGTTCTTTGTATTTATCGTCTTCTGCAGAAATTCAGTAAGGGCAATTCGCGATATCTGAGATAATTTTCCTCTTTTACCAAGCTATCTACTCTCACATTTCGAGCAAAAACAAAATGTTCCAAAAGTCTTTAAGCTTTGCAACCAGGGCCCAAGCGCGGAAATCCTGGAAGCACGCTATGTAGACTTCGCTTTTGGACAAAAGGCAAAAGGAAGATTATGCTATACAAGCGTATAAGCGATCAATCAGACGGACACAGTTCCAAAAAATGTTATCCTGATATTGACGTGCTCTTCGGTGATCTTTTTTAAATTGTGCACAGTTTAAATGCCAAGCTAAACGAAGAAATAGCTTGTTTACAGCGCAGAGACAAGCATATCACACAAACTTTGAACAATTTGAAGTTTTGTTTGCTAAAGTAGTATAAAACTTTGACACTCATGTATTCCACACTTTTTTAGACGAATTTCCCGCACCTTAACCATAAAAACCGATTTTCATTTTCTTCGATACACCAGTTTAAGCATGCGTTGCTATGTATCACTCTTTTATCAGTTAGAAAACTGACAAAAAAATGGTGAAAGACATGTGGCAAGTACGAAGGATGACGAGAGCAAACTGGTTTCAGTAAGCTAGACGAATATTTGCTTTATTAGCTGGTTGCAAATTATAGATGTGTGTAATGAATAAAAAATCGAAAAATTCGATGGACAAGATGCGATTTGGAGCATTTAAATTATATAGGATTTCATTAAGTTGTCTTATCTATCTATCGCTGGTGCTGTAAGACTGGAGTAGATCCAATTGAGAGTAGGATGAGTAGATTTTAAGTTACAAGAGTGAGCTGCGCAAGTCAGTCCTTCCTTGTAGATTTCGTTCAACAATTTTTTCTTCAAATAATATAACTTAATTATGCTTTTTATGTCCTTCACTTGCATTACTTTAGTTAGTCTGTTTGCAAAAATAAAACTCCAGTTTCTGTTCCTCGGCAAGTTTCTCAGACAAAAGCGGAACACATGATGTCATAGTCGATAGTTTGCTTTCCTGCTCTTCTCCAGTAACTCAGAAGCTGCACCAAATAAAATACTAATGAACTTTTCATAGCGAACGATCACCTCCCTCCTTCGACTGCAAGGCCCGACACAGATAATTTAGAAACAGATTGGACTTCGTTACTGGACGAAAGGTAAAGGGGATATCGTTTTTGCGGGGCCCGAATCGGATCCCCAAAAAAATTTGTGTACATGCAACACTAGCGAAGAATGTGGAGGCAAATTGCATATAGTACAGTGCGGAAGACAATCGAACACTTTTCTGTAGTGCCAAAGGCGACTAATTAGTCAAGTACAAGCTTCAAAGCCGGGTTAATATACGATGGAAGTGCTCCGACCGCTTGTGAAAAGCGCACGCGATTCAGCAAAACTGAAATCAACAAATTGCTTGTTTACAGCATAGAGACAAATATATGACACAAATTTGGACTGTAGGCATAGAATATTATTAGGTCGTCCCGAAAGTTTTGTCGGTTTTTTCAGACCACTATAAGACCACGCACAATGAAGATCTGAATGAGCTCTAGAATGTATTCGATGCAGCTTTTCCTTCTCTTTCTTGTGGTTACATTTCCGAACCACAATCCTGCATGCTTTCTTTGATAATTGCTGAAATTCTCCACCCGTCATTTTTGTCTGCTCAAAGTTCGGCTAATTTTTGAAAATTTCATTTCAAATTTTCGGAAAGAGTTAGGTAAGGATTAAATAGAGCAATTTTCGAACTACAAGATAGTACTTTTAGATTCCACTAATCTGCTGGTTTTCGCATTAAAAAATTATTTCTTTGGAGGTGTCGATTTTTGGCAAAGTCATGAAACGCGCAACTGCAGCAAATACATGAAAGCTTTCAAAGTTTCTGGGAATTGAAACATGATTCATATTAAACATTATTTATGCAACATTACCCAGTTTGACTTGCTTCAAAAAAGCAACTTTTTGGAATTTTTGGTACTTTTACGTGGTAAACGTAGTCAAAAAGCAGCGGTTTTTATTAAATAAATAATTATAACGGACCTGGTAAACATGGCCCATGTAATCTAAAATAAACACAATGTAGCCAAAGGCTTCCTCTACATAACAGTTACCATCGCTCCTTAGAAGTGTCAGTATAGAATTTTTTGAAATTCAGGAAATGTTTGAAGTTACTGTTGAGCTATTCAAAAAGCCATGGCGATAACATTGCAAAGACAGGATAGCTCAGAGAGCAAATACAGTTGTAAGAAAGAGGATGAAAATCTAAATCAAATGGTACCTAGACCGTTTATGGACTAGTGTTCTGTGAGTTTTAGTGAGCGATGAAAAAAACCGACAAAACTTTCGGGACAACCTAATATTTATAGAAGAGTTAGTGAAAAGTTCTTAAGACTTATGTAGTATTACCTTTTCCAAAATTAGCCCGTTTCTAAACGGTTACCAGATAATCTGAGACCGTTCGGAGCGAGGGCCCGGCGCGAGTCGGCTCTTAGGGTTTTTGAAAACGAAGTCCCCCCGAATTTCGAAAAACTACGAAGTCTCCTTTACGCCTAGGTAAACCTATTGATAGGAGAAGATAAAACAAAAAAGGATAGTCTGAAAGAAACGTGAACTAAGAGTGAAAAATCGAAGTAAAGCTGATTATTAGGCATGCGCAAGTGTTTGAAATTGGAGTGCGATTTCTAAAGAAGTGATTTATGAAGAAATTAGAGCGAAGAACAAAGGAAAGGCATTGATATGAAACGTCTTCATACCCAGGGACAGATTCCGGACCGGGGAATTCGTTCATGATAAAAAAAATCAAGACTTATGTGAAGTTACAAAAATATATGCTCCGAACAGGGCTCTGCATAGGTGGCTTACGGGGCAAGCTGGATATCGTTTCGGGGTAGAAAGCAAGGAGGGTATCGTTTACGGAAACCACAGCCTTCCCTCTTCCCCCCCCCCCCCCCAACAACCACTTCCTTCCTCTTATGTCACCCTACATCTTCTATAGAGGACGCAGATTGTCATTCCTGCCTTATCGATCCCATTCTTGCAAAAATTAAAAAAATCCTGTTTCATAAGTTCGCCGGTTAAGCGCGCGAATTTAAAAACCTACCCCGAAATGAACAAAAGCCTTGTTTACAGCGAAGAGAAAAGAAATGATTGGTGTGTAGATGGGCAACAGGGAGTTAGGACTATGTGCGAAAAATTATGAAAAAATCATATGAACTGAAGGCGTGGCAAACTTTTTTTCGGAGTTAGGTGGCTTTCCAGCCACCTGGACAGCCACCTGAGGTGGTTGTAAAAAGAAAAGTCATAAATTTTTCTCTTCACATAACTTTTCCACATATTTGACATAACTTTGTTCTAAATCAAAAACCCTGCAAATGAGTTCTCGAATCTCCCCTGAACCGCTCCTCCTCGCCTACTTACAGCCCTCCTAATAATTTGTACGACGCCGGCAAGCGTGCTCTAAGCGAGCTATGGTCCGCGTCTTGCGAAATTCGAAACGCACAAGCGTACCCTGATCGGCGACGCGGCAGCGACGCGCAGTTTCTTCCGCCGAGCGCGGCAGCGACCACGAACTTGGAGTTTTTGCGCATTGTCCAGTAGGAAGAATTACTACTAGGGTAGAAGAAGCTTGTTTAATCGTTGGGGCAGCGGCTGTCTCCATAAGAGTTCGTGGTTTTGCTTACAGATGGTTCGAAGACGCTGAAGGTTTTTGGAGTTATAGATAGTAGATTGTCTTCTTTTTCTTTTGTCTTTTCCATATTCTCGTGTCTTATTAATTTCGTAGTAACATTTTACTCCCCTACTTCAAGGTTCTGCTTCCTAACTCTTACGTCACTTATTGATTGATTTCCAGGCAGCGTAAGAGTATGGAAGAAGAAACTCCCTGCTGAACAAGGGAAGGACAGTGAACAAAAACCTGAACATGTGGAGGCATGTTGGAGGGAGCATAAAGGCACTGAACGCCGAATCAAAAGAAAATAAAGGTCAGCTGTTTTCGTTTGTTATATGGGTGCTTTGTAAATTTCTAGTTTTTTAAACTTTTCTACCTTGTTTTATTGATAGCCAATTACCTTTTACTTTTTCGAGTGCAGTCATGGTTTTTTATTGAAAATCTGCTAGACCATATTCAATGAAATGCCATAAATCGTGCTTTCTAGACCTACACTATCTCTAGTCATCTTTTCTTAGCTTTGCGAGGATCCGTCTTATTATACTACAAATACTGAAATCATAACTATTTCGAAGTCCAAAAAGTGGTTCTGAAGTTCCAACCTTATAGAAATGTTTGCCTAAGTCAGTGTTACGCCCACACAGCTCAAACATGGAATTTTCTGCTTTGTTACTCCAAGTTTTCTATTGAGAGATGTTCTGCCGGTTGGTGAGCGAGGTGCGTACACGCGATGAACCTGCTAAGCGCGGCGTAGTCTTCCTCAACGGTGAGACAAAGTTCCGCCAAGGTGTTTCGGTGTCACATACGACGAAGCTGTGGGCAAAACGATGTTCTCTTAATGATGAAAGGTAAGTAGGCACCTGTCTCTCATTTGGAACGAGCCCGAGTCGAGGGGCTTGCTCCCGCGGCCGACTCGGCAGGGCCCTTCGTTGCGTGCGAACGTGTCGTCTGACCTATCGGGCAGGAAAGGCTTCAGAAGGGAGGTCCAGTCGCTAAGGTCAGAGAACACTTCGGTTTTTAACCTCAAGCGACGCGACTATGCGGCACCCGAGCCTCTCGAGTCCGGCTTCAAATGAAACATAGGGTTCAGAGTCTTTGTTGTCAATCGAAAACCGAGTTTCTTTGATGCGATGCCAATTTAAATACCTTTTTTTTAGATATTCCCGGAAGATAAACACGATGTTACGTCCAGTAGATGTTGTTACCTGTGACTTTCCTCCAATGCCCATCGGTGATATGGATGAGATTTAAACCTCTTGATATCATTCACAGCTTCTGTGTCACTTGTTAAATTTTATGTTTTTTAATATTGGTCTCCTAGCTATAAGGTTTTTTTTGTTGATACCTGTCTCACTACCTCGTTGTCAGTTGTTGTCAATTTTCCATGCACTGATTTATTAAACGAAAGCTATAAGTAATAAACGCTTTCAATCAAAAACTGCACACCGTTTATCATGCAGAAGTACATGGTACAAATCACTATCAACTGGATTTACCCTAAAATCTCACGGATAAGTCCGCTTTTTTGACAAGAAAAATTGATGAAAATGCACCTTCTTACCGCCAAGAACCTTGCAGATAAGTCCTCCCATCAGATAAGTCCGCCTACCGATAAATCCGGACTTATCTGACAAGATCTCAGGGTAGTTATAATGGAAAGAAAGCGGACCTATCTGAAGGCGGACTTATCTGTAGACGGGGAGGACTCTTATCTGTGATATTTTAGGGTAAAAGCATGGTGTACATGTTGCAATGGAGAAAAACATTGAGGGGCGGCATTCACAACGGCATACGTATTTACAACTATACTACATTGTACAACTATAGATATAATTCACAGAGAGAGCTATACTCGGTGGGCTGAAGACGAGCACATTTGGCTTTTCATTGGCAACACAGGTACCTATGTCATGTTCATGCTAGATTGCTAAACGGTGTAGAATTTATTGAAAGAGGTCATCGATGATGGATGAGTGGAAGGGAAATTTTGCATGATGGCTTTGATGACATCAATGATCACATATTGACGCTTGAAGGTTGTAAGGACCAAGTTGATGAGATCTACTAGTCAAGACATAGGCGTGTTCGACCACTTTCTGAGTGAAACTGCCATGAATTTTGTCCACTTGCAGGAATACTCGTGACGCAGAATTGATTTCACTGTTATTTATAGAAGAAAATACAAGACACTTTGAGAGATCCTACTACACAATCAAGAGAAAAACAATGGAACTCATGTTCCACACTGATTGCATACTCGTTGAAAGTAGAACGCAGCAAGCCACTTCATGCTACACATTAAAACTACGGGATGAACCTAGTAGTAATCCTTCCTACTGGATAATGCGCAAAAACTCCAAGTTCGTGGTCGCTGCCGCGCTCGGCGGAAGAAACTGCGCGTCGCTGCCTCGTCGCCGATCAGGGTACGCTTGTGCGTTTCGAATTCGTCGCGGGACGCAGCATGCCCAATTTGGAGAATACGAGCTTTTTCAGTTCTTTTTCGACCGTTCAATGTTGTATTAGTGTTTTGTTCCATTATTTTTTTGTTTTTTTTGTCTGATCTATTCATGGTCGCGTCATAGATGGTGTGGTATTTTTGTGGCGAAGTGTATGGGAACTTCGTTTTTGAAAAAATGAAAAAAACCATCTCATGCCGAGCCCTGTTTGGGAAGCCTCTTCTTCAAAGTTAGTACAAGTCTTTCCAAGAGTATCGATCGATCGAGTCAATCAGTATTTTCTTCAAGAATGGTTTGTATGATTTCGCTCACAGAAAGTCATTATACTGCTCATCACCATTTTCACTCAACCCTGCACTTTGATTCTGCGAAGAAACTGGAGCCTTAGAATTACTTCTAAGACTACGGGATAAGGTATTAGGTTGTCCGGAAATTAATGCCCGTTTTGAATTTCAACCGCAATAAGTCATACACTTCTCATTTCTAAATAGGTTGCAAAGTACCATTCGATAGAGCAAAGCAAGCTCTATAAGATGGCCTTCTTGCTTCTGTAACAGCTCTCACCCACCTCGAGTTTGGAGCCAAAAACTAAAAAGACTCAGCAGCCCGAAATATCGAAAAAAATCGTAACTCAGTTCATAAAAATCATACAAAAATTCTTACTTGCTCACGTAAACACTATCCACATAAAACATCTATATACGCCTTTGCCACATTTTTTTCTCTGTTAGAAATCAAGAAAACGAAAATTTTCATGTATTTGCCAAAGTGATGCTGTGCCGTTCCCACATAAGTAGTTCTAAACTACAGACCTGTAGAAGTACAAACGTAAATTCTCAGCTCTCTAAAAGCTTTAGTTCTCGAGAAATTTGAATTTTAGCTTGGACCACCTAACGAAGCTGTATTCGGTATTTCTCGAGAACTAAAGCTTGTAGAGAGCTGAAAATTTGAGTCTGTACCTCTACGGGCTTGGGGTGTACAACTACCTATGTGGGGATGGCTCAGCATCACTTTGGCAAATGCACGAAAATTTCCGTTTTCTTGGTTTCTAACAGAGAAAAAAATGCGGCAAAGGCGTATATAGATGTTTCATGTGGATAGTGTTTATGTGAGCAAGTAAAAATTTTTGTAGGATTTTTATGAACTAAGTTACGATTTTTTTCGATTTTTAGGGCTGCTGAGTCTTTTTAGTTTTTGGCTCAAAACTCGAGGTGGGTGAGAGCTGTTGCAAAAGCAAGAAAGCCATTTTGTAGAGCTTGCTTTGCTCTATCGAATGGTACTTTGCAACCTATTTAGAAATGAGTAGTGTATGACTTATTGCGGTTGAAATTCAAAACGGGCATTAATTTCCGGACAACCTAATAGATTGCAAGGAATTTTTCTGCGCGGACAGGCATTGTGATTTTGAATCGATGACCTATTTAGGTGCAACCCAAATGATCGAGACGAAAACGGAAGTAATCGATAGTCTCACAAGAATTGTTGCGAAAGGACTCAGCACCTTAAGGCAGGAGTTAGCAACACTAGCAAAGAAATAATATTGAAGGAAGTATGACAGGCAGTTGTGCTAATAATGGTAGACCTAGCAACGAAATCAAAAAATGGGTAAAGCAAGGAAGGAGTGGAACACTGATTCAAAGAGGGTAGCAGTATGTTGTGAAAAAAAAGCAGAGGAATCGATAGTCGCAACGAATTGTTTGGGACTCAGCAACATAAGGCAGGAGTAAGCACCACTAGAGAAGAAATGATAAATGATATAGAAGGAAGAATTACGAGCGGTTGCTAATAAATGATAAATTAGCAAAGTACTCAAAAAGGCGGCAAAGCAAGGAAGGAGTGGAACACTGATTTGAAGAGGGTAGCAGTATGTTATGAAAAGTTAGATATGGCGAGCAAAACGTTCAAAGGATAGGGAGAGTGGATAGGAAAGCAAGCGCTCAGAACGACGGCACGATTAACCACGATTGACCTAGGTGTTTTATGTTTTGTTAGCATCAAACAAGCAAAAGATGGAAAGCCCATAGCATCCAGAAGGTGAGAATGCTAAAGACGGAATATTGAAAGAAGTTGATTCAGACTCAAGCCTTTTACATGCATGAATTTTACAAATTATACCTTCTTATCACATTCTTTCGTCTTCTAGTAGCTGTTGTGAATCACCATTGTTTTACTTCAGATCGTGGTTGAGTTGCGAGCACGTTTTTATTATAGAGGAAATTATGGAGCCAATTTCACAAGAATTTTGAATTGGTTTCAAAAGCGGGAAGCCTTTGCCATCAACATCTTGTCTGCAGTGGTATAAACGTCGTGATCTTTTCTACCTATAAATTGAAGAAGTTTCAGTATGCGTCCCGTAAACTCTCACGCTTTTTGATTATTCTTGCTTCATGATTTCAAAATATCTTATAAGGAAAGCTTCTTAACTTAGCTTGGCCTTTTGGTAAAAGGCACATATATTCTGAATCAACTTCAACCGCTGATTTCAAATATGCTAATCCTAGCTGCCACGCACCATTCCGAACCGAGTTATGGGCTTTTTCCTACGCAAAATTGTTCATACTCTGAACAAAAGAAGACTGACTATAGATAAAAATCTGCAAGAAAAACATGCTGAGGTATCGAAATAAAACAAATCCAATCTTTTCTCACTAAAAAAGCTTAACGCATGTGTATCAGCACTTAAATTGATGATGACGTGATGCCCGTGAGTCGATGAGCATGCCAATTATGCGCTAAAAAAGCCCATAACTCGCTTCGGAATGGTGCGTGGCAGCTAGGAATAGCATATTTGTTACCGCATTTGAAAATGATTCAGACTATATGTGTATCTTGCCAAAAGACCGAGTCAGGTATCTTCCCTTATAGAAGAAGAAGAAGGGAGAAAGACTGGTGCACTTTCAAACGCATGTTGGCTTTTATGATACAGAGGTAAAACCTATCTGTGGGGAAGATTTTGAATTTGGAGCGATTATGTTACGCTGCTGGGCAAAGCACTATAATGATCTCAGACACGTAAAGCAAGATAGAAGTTTCAGCGCTTCGGCTTAAGATAGAGCAACAGGGAAAAAATTTGAGGTGTGGACGTGATGGAAGCAAATACTTTTGCTAAAGAACTAAACTGGAAAACATCCATCAAGTCACTTATAGCTCCTCGTTTGACGTAAGGTAGACTGAAGCAGTTAGCTAGGTAGACGCGGAAAAAGTCTGACTGCATTGGAGCTGTAAACGGAGTCATCGGCAAGAAGTGGTCGTAGATAATTCTGAAAGCGAAGTTCTCCCCAGACTTCAAAAAGGCGACACAGAAAAGTGCACCAAACTTATACACATCGCTACTTCTTCTCTCAAGTGTCGAAATGTGTGTTCATACTGCAGCACTATGTGCGCCGATCGCACCGACTGCAGTACATAGCTGTAGCAGCCGCTGCAATCTAAGCATGTCAAAGAATGTTCGGCCGCAATCACGTCGAAGCACCGTGATTTAGCTCAAAAATCATGCTTGCTGATTTCAATTATTCCAATTAAATTTTCGTGCCTCTTTTGCCCATAATTGTTCTAATTCGTGTTGCTATGGAATGTCCTTCTACAGTATTATCTTTGTCTATTTGTTCTTTCCCTAACAAGATTTCATATCACACAAACTTCTTGTGTGCTTTATGTCAATGTTACTAGATGCGGTAGGCGTGCGCAGAGTTACATTTTATAAGGCCTCTCATCCTTGACTTTCAGTCGAGTATTGCGCGACGTTATTCTAACTTCAAATTCATCCAGTTTCGACAGCACTATCACATACCTTCACAAGAATTGTAAACCTCAGAACCTCACAGAATCTCAAAGATTTCAGGAGTGCGAAGATGAAAATGTGTGCCCATCGCCACTGAAAGGAGAGGAAAGAGTCGTCACTGTTAGAATTTTTGGTGTTTCAAAGCTTTTCCAACTTGGTTGCACGATGGATAAGTGGCATTCACATCTTCAGAAAAGGTGAGGGTTTCCCTGTCTACATTTTCTTTAATCACATGTGTTTTGGCAATATTCTGTAGCTGATACGAAGATTCCAACGTATCCACGCCCGGCCTTGGTATGTTGCTCTTCCCTTTCTAACATTATTGCGCATTCGCTTCGCTTCTAACTGTTGTGTTTGCCATGGCGTGTGTAGGAAGACGATTGAAGACCGAGTTCTTTACTTGACGACAAGGAACTGAGAATGAATTATACTTACTAAGGAATGCCTATATATAGTGCACACAACTATATCACATATTATAAACAACAGATCAACATATTCGTTCATTCTTCTCGAGCATTGGTTTCTTGTGCGGCTGCACAACACCTCCCCTTCTAAGTAAAGCGGTGGGTCCTTTCCGCGCTGAGGACTGAGCTGATACTTCATCTTCTTAGGTTGCACTTTATGTTTCTCGTAAGCCGAGTACAGTGGATCTGGAGCGATATAAACTTCGTATTCAGTGAACATCTCACTAAAGGAGCAGTCATCCAAAGTTGGGCTTGATATTTTGCGACAAAGCATGGAAAACTTTTGCACCGCCTCGGCTAACGTCTTCTCCCTTTTCGGCTTAGTTACTAGGCACTGGAAGTTGTCGACGATTCTTTCGGCCTGTTCACTGAACTGCCGATGGCGAGTAAGTCGAACATGTCTGGCTTTTCCAGAATCGCGGGTTTCGGCTATCCTGAATTAAGTAATATCATAAGAAACAGGTACCTCGGCACTTCCGAATTGACTGGATTTTGAACGGGTTTTGCCAAATATCTTGCTCTTATTCTCTTTTTCGAGCACAAAGACAGCCGTTGTTTTCGCGCCGTCTTCTGTTTTGGGTTGAAACGCTTCTGCGAACTGTGTTATCAGGTGAGTTTGCTTCTTGTCAAGTGTATCGTTCGTAGCGGTCACTGCATTCAAATTGTGACAGCCGATAACACTGCGCGAAAGGCACAGTCGCTCTGGTTCCAATGCACTTCAGGTAGTGCTGGTCCATCAAGTACATTTGTGGTACCATTTAAGGCGATGCCATTTAGCGCATGCTCACATGTGCCGTGTCCATGGCATGTAATGCTGTTCCCATTAGCAGCAGTCGAATTATGTTTCGGGTTCTTTGGCATGTGTCGGCCAGTCTTGATCCATGTGTCGCGATCTTCAGCTCCTCAGTCAAGTCGTAACTTGGTACTTGTGTTATTGGTTTTCACATTGTAGTACGACTTCGTTTTTTTTAGGCGGTGAGATGACGACAGGAAGGACGTCCTTGGCTTCATCGACAAATAGTTTACGTAGACAGTACCTCTCTAGATTTCCACGCTTCTTGCAGTAGTTGCATTCAGTGATCGGCTTCTCGCACTTCCTGGTCCTATGGGTCTTCGCTCCGCAGTTCATACAAAGATGTGTTTTGGACTTGTGACCGATGAATGGCTTCCGCTTCTCGTCTCGCTGTATCGCGTTGACTTGCGGGTTCTCATTCATCTGATTCACGCTGACCTGAGGTACCCTGGCTTTGTCGATCATCTGTATGTGATTCTGCAGTTCCAAGTAGTCTTTTACTCTTCGTTGAATTCTTGCTTCGTCAGTTCAGCCATGGGTTCTCGACAAGACTTCCACAATTCCATGATTTGCTTCATTAGAAAGTGGACCGTGTCCGTGTTCGGGCTCGGGTTCGGGTTCTGCTCGAATTCTGGTAGACGAGTAGCGAGTGCATTCATCGCGTAATCCTCGCTGGATCCTTGTTCTTTCTTTACTTCTTTCCGTAGCTCCATGATTTGCAGCATCAGAAGATGGGTTGGGTCCATGTTGGGAGTCGGGTTGGGCTCGGGTTCAGGTTCTGATCGCCAGTTGTTGTGTTTGCCACGGCGTGTGTAGGAAGACGATTGGAGACCGAGTTCTTTACTTAACGACAAGGAACTGAGAATGAATTATACTTACTAAGGAATGCCTATATATAGTGCACACAACTATATCACATATCATAAACAACAGATCAACATATTCGTTCATTCTTCTCGAGCATTGGTTTCTTGTGCGGCTGCACAACAATAGCTTTACATACCTTTGTTGTATCCAATCTCTACCTTAGTTGTATCTACTTAGCTTCTTTACTGCTGAATACCAGTGAGGTTTTTAATCAACTTTACTTCCTTATCTACGGAAAAAGAGCAAAACATTGTAAATTTTTACAATGTTTTGCTCTTTTTTCTTTGTTTTTTACCATATTTTGCACAGGTTTGTTTCTCATGCACTTTGAAGATGTAGTTCTGCATAGATCATAATGTCACTACTGCCCTCGATTTCAGGCTTCCTTTAATCGCAAGGTCCGGCTGCAAAGCCTCCTCGAAAACAGCATATTGTCCCAAAATCATTGTTTATCGAAGTGCAACAAATAGCTTTCCGGTTAAATTTTCTATTGTTTTTGCATCTACAATCTTGAAAAAGCAAAAAGCAAACCGTGTTGCACTAATACATTCCATACTACCATCGTGCAACATGCTATCACTACTACTACTTACTCAATTCCAATATTTTCGTCCAAAGTCTGTTGCTAGTTCTGTTACTCCGTTTATTCTACACACACCCAAATGTGATGAATTCTCATCTCACTTGAACTACTACTCCCTTTCCCAAATCTTTAGATATTCCGCTGCAAAAGCTTATTCTAAATCTAATTTGAGCCCATCATCTGCCTGAAAATGGTGAGTTCTCATTATATTTGGAAACAGTCACTCAGTGAATCTTGCACTTGTGAAGAAACTTTTAAGATTCCTCAATATTGCAGTTTCTCACTGGCGGAATACCGTTCCGAAATTCTTGGAGTTTACTTTTTCATGCACATGTAATTGTTACAACTGACAAACATCCCATTAAGATCGGATCATATAGAATTTGTGTTTTGTATGATGAGGAGTACAAGTAAAATCTGCATTTACCTCTGAGATAAATGTTAATAAATGTTGACGACGAATGCTTCTTGTGCCAGTCCAAACCTGACACTGATTTCAGAAGGTTGACTGCACAGAATGTGAGAAGACATGCATTAACACCATCGCTACTATGAAGTCTGATAAGCGAAACATCCATCGAAGGGAACGACGATAGGTTGCCGACAACGGTTGCCGAGGTTGCCGAGGTTGTAGTGCTCAGAGGCGGCTTAGAGAGCGGCGACACGTGGAGGCTACCATGAGGTCCTACAACGACCGACAACGCCGGCAACCTCGGCAATCGCTGCCAGCATCCTATGGCCGTTCCCGAAGAAAACTTCCATATGGTCAGCGAGCCGAAATCATCATAAACAAGGTCTACGTCTTCTTTAACGACTTCAAAGAAAGAACTGGAAAAAAGGTGAGCATACTCACTTCTGAGGTTGCCAAATTACATCGTTAGCCTATAGAATAGCACAATCTACGCTAACTCGGATAGTACATGCGGGAAAAATTGGTAATCGGCCGCAAAGTCGCAGAAGAAAATGAGCCACACCAAGTATGTTTGCTGCAACTCTCAGAAACCACGGACAATATGGGAAAACGCAGTCCAAGAAGCAATACACAGCAAGTTGCGCGATGATGAGGATATTACCTTAACGGAACGTTAAAAGCTGCATCAATCCTCGCAGAAAGAGTTCGATCTTTCTCGCATGACACTATATCGTCTAGCCAGCGACCTACGATTCTCCTTCAAAAAAGGAACACAGAAATCTATCTTCAAAAAGGAGGATCCTATCGCAAAACGGAAAAGGTATCTGCAGTCCATCGCAGCAGCCAGAGGGATTGATGAGTGTCTAGTCTATACTAATGAAACTTGAGTGTTCGCAGAAATCACCAAGAGCAAGGGATAGAACGATGTTAGCCCCATTTCCATCACGCTCCATAATCGCTAAATACTCCTGCGGTAACTCAGCTGGCAAGAACAGAAAGATGCGGGCGCTGTAGTGACTGGAGTTACAGTAACTAGAGGGGAAGAAGGAGTAGTGCTAGGATGCACGAAAGTGTTTATCAGTGGAAAGGACACAGCGATAGTGATTATCACAAAGACATGGATCATCTAGCTTTTGAAGAGGGTTAGAGGATAGCGCTCCTCTAATGGTACGGTATGCTAATGGAGGCAAGTGATTTGATCATGTAATGTTCCGCATTATTCGAGGCGCGTGAAAGAGTTGCCAACTCGTTCGTCCACCAAGGCTTAGAATTTGCATGTTGGATACTGAATAATATTTAACTCAAAAAGGTGTCAACGTAAGAGCAGATGCAAAGAAGGCAGAGCTACTAGCTGGTATTCAACAATCTCCAGCAAAAATTGAAATTAAAGGCTCCATACTTTAGTTGGACTTCTTTTATGAAACAAAGAAGGAAGATCGGCTTTGCTCGCATATGCTGCTGAGGGCATTTGCAAAAGACCACAGTGTAAAGGTCACAAGGATGCCTCCCTTCCACTGTATTTTCAATCCAATTAAATTGCTTCGGGGTCGTTTCAAAACACATTTGACGAATGTGGGAAAATATCGGGTAAGGTCGACGTGCTATCCACAGTATAGATGACAATGGAGAGGGTCTATTTAGGTGAAGAGTCGAACTTTGAATTGGATGGAAACCCTGCCTTCTTCGTTTACTAGATACGGTTTCGGAAAGTGGAGGCGCTAGAAGACCAAGGAAGGGAAAAGGAAGTACTAGATAGCGGACGAACTTAAAGTCGAAAAAGTCAGGATGACGAAGGATTTTTCTTTTCACTCCTTTGAAGTTTATTCATTTAAAGATCTCTCTATTTCAGATTCAGAAGATGAGTACATGATCACAAGCAAAAGTAGAAGGAATAGAAACATGTTGAGAGGAAGTGAAGATTGAAAAACGTGACGAAAAATGAATGGGAAAGAATGAAAAGGGAAAGAGGGAAATCCGTTGCTTCCCTTAGACGGATAAAATACGATTGGAAAGCCCTACCCCAACTCAACAAGGAGGGAGGGCTTGAACTAGTAAAATTAAAAAAACGCCCAGCAATCATAATTGACCGCATCGCTCCAATTTGGCCGAACAAAGGCGACGATGACGAAATCGCACATCTGCAAATCACACGTTGGAAAAATGATATTCATGTTGGTGCATCATAGGCGCCTTACTTAAAGGCAGTGTCAGGCAAAATTTCGATTTTGAGATTTTGTGCTTATACGGGCCTATTCGCCATGCTGAATCCGAAAATCCACATTGGAAAGCGCGAAAACGGCGAAAAAGGGCTCTAATAAGGAGGGAAATCAGCAGGTGGGCGGAGCTTTCCCCAGTGCGATTTCACGCTCCCAGCTCCTGAAGCGATTTTCTCGATTCCGCTTGCCGTTCTAACATCTCTACTGGGCAAGTGCAAATGATTGACTTAAAACCGGAAGCGAGAAGGGTTGAGCCAGACTTCGCGGCGAAGCGGCGTACGCGGCGTACGCAGCCTACGCTCGGTATATTTCATCATAGGAGCATACGCGGCGTATGCTGCGTACGTCGCGTACGCCGCGCAGTCTGGCCCAACCCGAAGGTCGCTCCGGAAACCGGGAACGTGAATTCGCAGTGGGGAGGACCCCACCCACCTGCTCATTTCCCTCCTGTGTTAGAGCCGTTTTTCGCCATTTTCGCGCTCTACAATGTGCAGTTTCGGATTCAGCGTAGCGAATAGACCCAATTAATCACAAAATCTCACGAGTTTTTGCCCGGACACTGCCTTTAATCCTCTTGACCCTCAATCCACTTGATCCACTTGATCCGCTTTGTGCAAAACGCCACACACAACAGTTTATCATCTGGCGCCGCTGGGTAAGAAGAAACTTTGTATGGTTATGCAACTTCGTTGTACACGACGCCAAATGACAAATTATTGACGCGCATTTTGCATGAAGCGGATCAAGCGGATCAAGTGGATTAAGAGGATCAACAGGATTAAGTATGGTGGGTGCCATAATGTACGATTTGTACGCAGCCGGATTTGTGCAGCATTCTTGGAGAGCATATATATGGAGCAACCAGATTCGTAAATTACGTCAGAAATTACGACGTAAGGAACAACCGCAATGATTTTTGCCTGTGGATACAGGCGCGTGTCAGAATTGTCGTGTTTGCTTCTAGAAACGCCATAGCAAATTTAGCACTTTTGTCTGTGACGTCATCAACAGCAAAACACTCGCAGCCAATCGATGCATGCATTACAAAATTCTTCAAAGTCCATGAGCGGAAAACTCCATTATAAAGTGATTATGCTTGCAAAAATGTGAAGTCCAAATTAATTTTAGTAGGAATGAAAATTACGGGAGAGAAAGTAAACAAATAACAGGAAAGGTTTGATATGAAGTGTATAAAGAGAGGAAGAGCAAATTACCAAGGCCAAGCACGGACACATTGAATTCAGTAAAACATTAAATTATTGGAGACACCTGTGAACAAAAAACTCGTAAACAAGGAAACCCCCCCCGCTCCTGGAGAAGCTTGTCCAACGAGTTGCAAAGAGTCTAAAACATCAAAATTATATCTTTAAAGACAGTGGATCGGCAAAATCAAACAACTCAGGATCTCAATGCGGTAGGTTCCTTATCGCCCTAGTATGAAAACACTGCAATCCCGGTTGCACAGCATGCTCTCCCTGCCGAGAAAATCGCTCTCAAACTTGCACGCGCAGGCCAATCTTACACGTATCTGGACGAGTTGGCAATTTCCTTCTCACCATTGGAGGCTGCCCGCCGCAACGTAACCACTGGATCCTGCAACGATTTAGGCCTTGCTCCACTCGTCCAATTCCAAAGGGGCATTGAAAAACGCTTATTTTTGCCGTTTTCACGCTTTCGGAAGTGGATTTTTGGGATCAGCGTATTGAATAAGCTCAGGTAAGCGCAAATTTGACTAGTTTAAGTTTCGCCGAGCCACTGCCTTTGATATTAAAAAAAACGATTTCCACTGTTTTTTCGCTAGGGGGTGGGAATAATTTAATGTGCGCACGCCCGAAACATAAGCATAAGCTGAAAACGTCATTCTGGTAGATAACAGCATACATACAATAACAGTGAGCATGCGTCTGACTGTGAGTGTGCCTGATAAACATCAGGTTTCGCGCTCAAAGTGTAATCCTCTTCTCTCACGGCACGCGCGTTACCTCATCCGCTGGTTACCCAGGAATCGATGATGGCTGGTATGCCCTATAAGTCAAAGGAAGAAATCATAATCGAGTATTATAAAGAGGGGAGAGGTTTGCAGTTAGTTTCTCAGACTCTTTCTTGTGATAGAGTATTTTTTGATTCAACTGGATTGACCGTTGGAAAGCAGGGCTTTGTGCCTAACTATGCTCGCTCGCGCCCGCGACGCAGCCTGCGTCTCTCTCAGGCGCGTGCTTTTTGATCATCCCCCTTCAAGTAGGTCACTAAGCCCCGCCTTCCAGCCACTAATACACTTGAATCAAAGGGTCCCGCATTATAACTTCGTTTTGCACAGCGATTGGATGAAACGCTATGTTCCCAGTCGCTCACTTCTACTGTTCGGATTTCTGCGTAGGACCACACGCTAACATACAATCGTAGCTATCGTGTGGATCAGGACTCGGCACAGCCGACACCGAGACAAGCTGAATATCGTTTTTAGGACGGAAAGCAAAGGGGATATCGTTTTTCCGGGATCCGGGGCGGAGAGGAGCCGCAAGAATGCGACGACATGCCACCGGCATGCTGTCCATCAAACAAACAAAGGCGTTGTTTTCAGCCAAAACGCAATAGTTTGACACCAAATTTGGTGTGTGCATGCGCGTTGGAGGACCCGAACTATGGCCCAAAAGTTTATGAAAACTTATGTGAATGAAAGCTTGCTGAACTTTTCTCTAAATTAGCTGGCACCGTGCCAGCTGGGTGCCAGCTGAGCTGGCACCGACATTTTGCTGACATAAGTCTTCATAGTCTTTTACACAAAA